AAAGTCCCCATATAATACTTTGCAGTCTGTGGCCGTATGTGAAAAAGATACTTATATCTCTGGTTATTGGATGATAATAAGTCATTTTTCAGGACGACATATTTTAAATTAGTGTTGGCACACTGGATATTTAGACTTGACTTTCTTTAGCAGTTTTATAGCCACTCCATTTGGCTGATTTAGAAAACTTACAGGATTTACTTCACTTTGTGATAGAATCTGCTACAGCTTAATACTCTATCAGCCTGCTAATACGTTCATTTGTTTAAAAAGTATCAAGTCCAAAAGGAACTAATTTAGAAGAACATGTGCTTTTCTGCAAGTTTTGCATCCATCTTTCTTTTTAAACCAAAATAAAGGGTATATATGTATAATTTAGGGGCTTCCGAATGTAATTTTCATGAAGTTTATTGCAAAAAATAAGCAACAAAGGGGTATGCTTACAAAAAGACACACCTCACCAGTGGGGTTCAATGAGTATAAGTGATCTGGTTTAAAAGGTGAGCAACTGCTATTTGGCTTAAGGAAAGAGAGCCCTGCTGATCCAATGTACCGTGTCTTGCAGGTGCGGTGAGAGTCTTGTGCAACCATTGGATTTGAGGAGCTGCTTTGAAGTCAAATATATCATAGCAGTCCAGGACTGGCTCCTTGCACGTCCGTGGCCTTCTAAGAGTGGAGGGATTACTTGGAGGGATGTGGGGGGCTTTAGGGACATGTAAAGTAGCGCTTCAAGGGAATCAGGCCTGCCTTACGGACTCTCTTGGCCCTGTGACCAGGTCCTCGTCTCCCTCTTAACTCCAGCCGCACTAATCAATCTCCTCTCTCGTCTTCACAGTGGAGAAAGATGCGGAGAGCATGAGAGAAAAAGGGCTCAAAGGAGAAAGTGGAAGGAAATAAAAAGGTAAAAACTGTGAGATTCAGTTCAAGACATGAAGCACTCTCCCTCTCTGTGGTCGCCGAGGGCCCAGCTACTGAATATGCATGTTTGGGGTATCAGAGGAGCCCAGAGCAATCGCAGACTCTCATTCCTCCTGCAGTGAAGTTTAGCCCAGACCATCCCACAGAGACATGGGCCTCCGTGTTAGTGCTGCTCGACAAGTGCACAGTGCTTCCACTTAGAAAGCCAAGAGGCCTGTATTAGCATTGTTAAGACATCTGTATGGGACCCCTGCTGGCTGCAGGGAAGCAGGAGCTGGATCTGTGATGTCACTGTCAGCTGATAAGGGAGTTATCAGGACCAGCAGCAATGCCTTTAAAGCCTGCTAAAATAAAGACTAAATTGATGTGGGGGTTTTCTGTTTGGGGAAAATGACCTCTTGTTTAAGTGTAAAGTTTCCCAGAGGGATACTCCAAATTCATCATAAAAGGTCCAAATAAGTTTTTTTTAAAATAAGTTAAAATCTCCAGAAATGTCCCAACAGGCAAATCCATCCTTTTAGCAAGGATAAGAAAAAATATTAAAAGAATAGACTTTCCTTTGAAGGGCATCAAGGCACTGGTAAAAACACAAAGATATAGCCCAAAGACCCATTAATAACACATTAATTAGAATGTAAAATATCAACTTATAAGTAATTCTCCATTATTGGTTCATTAGATTAAAATTTGCTCCATCCGACTAATTGATAAAATATGACTAAAAGGAATTTCTTTCAGGGTAACAGTGTTAATAATGTCCACTAGAGGGTGCTGTCATTCATTATTAAGCACAGACTCATTGGTATTTGCAATAGAAGTAATGCCAGAGCAGAGGCAAGAACTGATCCAGAGTTTGGGATGGCATTCTTCACATTATTTGATGGCGATAAGGATTCAGAATGAACTTTATGCAGTTTGTATGTCTGTTTGTAAATATAAACGCCCAATAAACTTCTTTGGTTATCCCCTAAATAGCGCCCATTTAGCTTTGCTGCATGGCGGAGCAGCATCAACTTCTCTACTGTGCTTGGAAGGCGAGGAAGTCATAAAAAGCTTTACTTTTTTAACATGACAGTAAAAGACATTTAGCAATAGGCATAGTAAACGAGAAGGGCTTTTGTGTTTCAAAGTGTTTTTATCATAAACATATATCTTGTTTAATAACGTGTAAGAAAACATTATTGTTAATTTAGTTAGTTTTGACCTCTAAACATCCACGTCATTTTGCATGCCCAAATAAAGAAGCAAATAACTTAGGAACTGTAAGCCCAAATTACATGTGTAATACATTATTTGAAAGCTAATACCCTCTAGTTTCCTAATATATAAATATATTAAAATTAAAATTGGGTGAGTAGAACACAGAACAACCTGCATCAGTTCAAACATGACTCAAAGTTGTTGTTGTAGGTCTTTTTGAACAGCAGTTAATAAATACATTCTTGTGAAAAAGCAGGTTTCAGTATATTATATTTGTTCTACATCATGTCAACCACAAATGCAGAAAATTTCAGACCTCTAGCTATAACAGTTCCAGAGCTGTGGGGATTGGAACTTTTGGTAGCAGGTTGGAGCTGCGCACAATGGCGCCACGTGCTGGTCAAACTTTTACCGGTAGAATTTTATTAATTCTGAATTATTACCCCCACTTAAGGTCCACTGGGTCACTAGCGACCCGGTGGGTTTTAAGAGGTTAATATAGCTTATCAATAATCATCAGTCAATTGATAAGATCAGTCAACTTTAGAATACCGTATTTTCACGACTATAAGGCGCACTTAAACGTCTTTTTTTTTCCTCAAAATGTGCGGTGCGCCCTATGGTGCGGTGCGCCTTATGTGTGTTGTAACTGCGACTTTTGAGACCACCTCATTGAGGAGATGATGAAAGAGTGGCTGAATGTAAGGAGGCCAGGTGTTTTTTTTCCACCCCTCACCATCGCTGTTAATATGTAACTCCATGCGTGCCCATCTCACAGCTGATGTGAAAAACATGGGGAAACAAATTAACGCTGCTCGACATCGGTGTGAACCGGACCCAGCAGGAGCAGCGAGTTTACATGCAAAGTCAATGGTTGACGCGCATATAGGTGCAGCAAAAGGTCCCGCAGCGCGTTTTGGTGCAGCACGTCGGGAGCGTTTAAGCATCTGAAGCGCCGCCAACGCGCTGCTGCTGCTCAGATGGAAAAATTGAAGTTTTGCTGCTGGACGCGCCGCATCAACCAATCAGAGAAGCTGATCTGGGAGCTGCCAGCGAGACAGACACAGCGCTCTGATGACATATGATATTAACGCAAATGGAAAAGGCTGGATGGATGCGTGGCTGAGGCAGGTGTATGTGAGAAGACTGGGTGGTTTTTTCCACGCATCACCATCGCTGCGTGCCCATCTCACAGCCGATGTGAAAAAAAGGTGAATCAAATGAACGCTGTGCTCGCCGTTATCCCGGGGGGTCTGACAAAGGAGCTTCAACCGCTCGACATCGGTGTGAAGCAGCCGTTCGAAGTAAGGCTGCGAGCGGCGTGGGAGCGATGGATGACCGACGGAGACCACAGTTTCAGGATAAGAAGGCAGCGCCGGGCAGATTACGCCACAGTTTGCGGATGGATTGTAGATGCTTGGACTAAAGTGTCTGCTGGCTCTGTTGTTCAAGCTTTCGCAAAAGCCGGCATTATTTCTGAGGAGCTGCGCTGCACGGAAAGTGACTGACAGCGAAGAAGGGGAAACTGGCATGTCTGATTTAGCGCAGCTGTTTTATTCAGAGACAGAGGATGATGACTTTGATGGGTTTGATTAATACTTTGTAATAAATACATGAATAAAGCACAATCATACTCAGTTTTGCTCCCGCTGTATTTTTCTCCCTGAAAACTTAATTCAACAGCAGCCTCTGGGCGCGTCTCCTCCTCTTCATCGCGGTGGCTGGCAGGTGTTTTTTCATCTAAATAATCTAAATCTTGCAGCTATATTTGCTGTGATCAGTGGGAATAAAGTAGTTTTAATATGTTTTTAAGTGAGAAAGTCCACCTGAAAACTTAATAATTGCAGTCAGTTCATCCAGATTATCTATTTCTGTCGGAGGCGCTCAGACCCCCACATACCAGCGGTGCGCCGACAGGAGAAATCCTTTCGTTCACCGCGGCTGCTGGCAGGTGTTTTTCATCTAAATAATCTAAATCTTGCAGCTATATTTGCTGTGATCAGTGGGAATAAAGTAGTTTTAATATGTTTTTAAGTGAGAAAGTCCACCTGAAAACTTAATAATTGCAGTCAGTTCATCCAGATTATCTATTTCTGTCGGAGGCGCTCAGACCCCTACATACCAGCGGTGCGCTGACAGCAGAAATCTCTTCATCAGCAGCCTGTAGGCTGGGCAGCCTGGGGTTCACCGGCGGCTGCTGGCAGGTGTTTTTCATCTAAATAATTTTAGCTGCAGGCACCAGGATACCGGCAATAAAAGCGAACATATTCCGTCAGCAGGTTTCAGGATTTTAAGTTAATTTAGGAGTGACCACAGCGCTGTGTCATCTGCGATGTGTCTGTCTCACGGCCAGCTGCCAGGTTTGATTAATACTTTGTAATAAATACATGAATAAAGCACAGTCATACTCAGTTTTGCCCCCGCTGTATTTTTAAATACGCAGTAGAGGTATTTAAAGGTAGTAGAGGACATGTACCTGTATATATAAAAAATGAGCCCTATAGTCCGGTGCGCCTTATGTGTGTGTTAAATACAGAAATGGGACACATAACTGAGAGTGCGCCTTTTAGTCCGGTGCGCCTTATGGTCGTGAAAATACGGTAATAAATAATTTAAACCTCTACCGGTTATCATTATAAAGCATGTATGGAAGTGTAGTTGTACACCCAATTATTATTATTTTTGTTACTGTAATGAAAACCATGTTAACCATTGCTACAATAATGGCGTCCCTTAAATTATGGCACTGGACTGGTTGAAATAGGCATGGAGATCAGTCCGAATCTCCAGAGTCTGATTTTTTACAAACACTGGCCTGAAGAATTGAATGTGAGAACCAACCGTCTGCCCTGGTACAGGTAGAGAAAATTGAATTAACTTACATAATTAGCTGCTCCATCCGTCCCCTCATTCCGTAAAACCGCCACAACAAAGCAGAGGTACTGCTGTTGGTTAGTCAGTGGCTTGTTTGTGAATCCCATGTATTCCTTGTCATCGCCCAGCGTAAAAGTTTCTGGCAGGTGAGCCAGCTTGGCCGCTACGTATGCCCTGGGGGAGTCCACATGGCGCCTGCGTCGCAGGACAGGACCTTCTCTGGACCGGAGCAGCTAGGAAGAAGGCAATATAAAAAGGATTGCAAATAGTAAAAGATGGGCAAGGTGACCCCTGAGAGCAAAGAACCTGTCAAAATATATATATAAAAAAAAAAATTAAATTGGGGCATAAATTAGTGTATATAATCCAAACTGAAGCTTCTGCACTCTTTAATCTCAGTACAACAAAGCCTTTGCATTGACAGTGGATGTCCAGGTTTGGCTGTGCTTCTTAGAAAACGATAATGACTTCACAGTGCTAAAATGCCCTTTGCACGCTGGCAGAACGGCAAACAATGCAGCCAAGCTACGAAGTGAGCAATTAGCACTTGGTGGAGCACACAATCTCAGCATGACTGCCAGCCTGGTTAATAAACGAGCAGGAGCATACAGCACTGCGGCATTGTGTTTTTCAGCAGCATTTTGTTTCCTGTCACTGATGTCTCATGTGCTGCTCCAGATGTAGCTTTATTAAATCATTATGTTGGAGGGAGGAGACAATGGCCTGCTCGGTGTTTAATGACTCAAGGAGTCCCATCTCTTTCCCTCTCCTTCTTCTCCATTATTCCTAAGGGGGACCTTGAGCAATGGCGATTCAGATCAACATGCCTCAAACTTTACTAAAAGATTTTCCATGCATTTTTCTGGCATGTAATCATACGTCCCCATGGACAAGTTTGCATCTTTATCAAACACATTTGGCAAAACTCCGTGAGAAGGTATAAAGCCCCAACTTCACACCGAACTATATACTTGTTGCAACCTCTGGTAAGGACAAAGGCCTTTAAATGAATTCATACTTTTTATCATAACATGTTGTATCACCTATTTCAGTGATAACAGATTTTGCAATGTGATCTATATATAAAAAAACAACTTTAAGTTCATAATGTTTTACAACACTAACACAATTTATCTGTTTCTTTAAGAGAGGTTCCTTAAAATTAAAAAGAAGTGAGAAATTCAAGGTATTGCTGACAAAGGAGTACCAAAACCTATATAACATGCTACACATTAACCGATTCGACAGTTTGCAGACCTGGCATCCAATCAGCAGACTGCCATCTACCTGAGTGAGTCACTGTTTAATATCTCTCTCCTCTAGAAACCGCCTCCTCCCTAAGCTCAGGAAGGTAGAGCTAATTGGCAACCAACTACTCCCTACCCAGTTGGAGCGGAAAATGCTATCCATGACCCCTCTAACCTGGGAGCATTAGCCAATCAGCCTCCCACCTGGCACTCACCTCTTCCAAGTCCATTTCGTCTGGATTCTTCCAACCTTGCATCGACTGGGTCTGCGGCACCACCACGATGTAATACCACCTGGTGAGGAATTTAAATAAATAACAATAAAGCCTGGTGTAAAGAAATTGTGAAACAGTCAACACATTTAGAGACCTGGAGAGGCTTTCTGTGTGGTGTTTTTCTGGAATGACGCCACCGCACAAGTGAGTCCAACCAAGGTCAAACTCCAGCAGACTGGTGCTGCATTCCCCAATTAATGGCTGAATGCTAAGAACATCTGCCACATAGACCGGAACAAACAGCCTTCAGGGGGAGGGGAACCTACAGCTAATGGAGATCCCTGTAGGAATCCTGAGGTTAATAAGAGCAAATATGTCTTTTTTGTGCTGTGATTACAGAGATACAGATGCATGGAAATGAAGGGCATCTGTGGAAAAGGGTCATACTGAGGAGGCTGATTATGGACAGCATGAGCATATATATAAAAAGGTAAAGCACTCATGTATCTGTGTTTATATTTGCTTTAGCTCTATCAGGCTGTCAAGCCCTGACTGTTTTTCTCTCAGGCTGAAAGTTTTTTTCATCCACTGCGGCATTTTGTAAAACGAGCTGCTGCTGACAGTGAAAGCAGCTGCCTCTCTCTCTCCTCCTTCACATCTGTGATTCAACAGTCACTCAAGTCTGGGAGTGGAAGAGGACGTGTATAACAAGGCTCCTCACCAACACAAGCTAACACACCCCTCGACTCTTCCATCCCTATTCACCAGCCCTTTTCCACTGTCAGTCTGAGCTGGACCAGCCATTATCTTTGCACCAATCAACTAACTGCCCTCCTCTGACATGGTTATACCCCTTTGAGTGTGTGTACATTAAGGTAAAAGCTTTACAGCATCAACGAAAAATGACAAAACTGTCGTTAAATCCAAAATAACGTCGGCTTTCTAGTGGCAAACACATCTGAAAGTAAAAGCTACAGTTAAAGGGTTGGAGTAGTGCTTTGCTATTGATCAGCGATTAGTGTGTTGGTTTTCTTTGCAGTTCATTTATAAATGCATTTTCAGTTGTCAAAGTTTGACGAGTAATTCCTGAAGAAGAAAATCCTGCCATTAACCACAGGTGCATTAAGGTAAATATTTGCGATTCTTCTAAAAAACTTCTCCATCGCAAACAAATGTAAAAGGTCGCGGCTAAACCACAAACAAGCTACCCAGTACCCAAGATTTAAAACCATTAAGGAGAAAACTAACTTTGAGATTCTTTAAAATTACTCAGGAAGCCAGTTTGGTGGTAAAAAACACTGTTACTTCTGTATAACCAACCTCCACCAGCAATACTTGTCAAACAGCTGTCTTTGTAAATGTAATTTATAGCATTCCATTACACCTTTTAGATTTCCAAAAATTTCCCCAATCTTTAACAGCAACATTCACACAAAAAATAAGTAAAAAAAGTAAAATAAAATACAACCTATCTTTAACAAAACTGGTAAATATCAACTGTTTAATTTTTTTTAAATCTCTGCATGTTTTGGTTGTCTACAAATTTCATCATGACTACAACTTCAGAAATGATCATAATGGTTAAATTGCAATATGTTTTCAGTAATTGAACATTGAAAAGGTGGGACCGCATGCTAAAAGACAGCAGGTTAGAGCAGATGGTGTTTACTTATTTCATCTATACCCATCAGTTGTTATAAAGCGTATAGACGGGCTTTATTCTAACAGATTCATTAAACGTCACTTATAGAATGAGTCCTAGTTATGTAATAGACGGCACACTGTTGCATTTCATTCATGTTAGCCTACTTTGTTTCCTTATTCCAATCCTTATTTAAATTTGTTTCTCAGAATTGGATGGTTTTTGGTATGTTTCTCAGCTTGTGCTCTCTTTACTTGTTCCTACCTTTCTCTTGCTGCGTCACAAACATTCATTTACAGCAGCAGAGCTTTTTTGTGTCTTATTCTCTCTTTCTGTCTGCTCCACTCCTCCTTGACTGTCTCTTTTTGAGTCTCTGCACTGCTTGACTGACAGCTTCAGAAACACAAGGGGGGGGGGGGGGGGGGGGCTAGGGGGTGTCTTTCTTTAGCGAAGCAGGCAGATACCCTACCCGACCATTACAAATTGCATGGATCAGCCTTTCAGCAACAAAAAAGCTTGGGACCAACCCATTGGCAGCACCGGGGAACATACCTGTGCTACCGTTAGCCAGTCCACCTTACGCCACAACTATCATGAACCAGCTTTTATTTTGAAATCTCACCATCAAGTCCCGAAACCAACACACTGTCAAATGACAATCATAACTAGGCAACTTGAGCTATTGGAAACAACTGACAGCATTGCTATAGCACAGTGTGTTATAGCTGTTAACACCATATGCAGAGTTCCTACTCACCTTACGAGGTGTACATTTAGAGAGGGTACATATTTTTATATATCATGACATCTAGAATTTTGCTAACTTTAATTTTAAGCCATGTTTTATAAGAATGAGATATGAACTAAGGATTCTATAAGCATTTTTATAGCTAATGCTCATTCTGCATTAGAACTCTTTCGTTTACCTAAACCAAAATTATTTTAATGGTGTCTGGGCAAATCACTATCTATAGAAAGTAAAGGACACATCCTATTCAGCAGAAACATTCATGGTGTCAACATCTCATAAATCTGTATAGGATTCCCCTTTTCAAACTTAATATACTGAAATAAATAATCTTTATGATAATATTCTTGTTCGTTAAGATCCACCTGTAACTGCATAATTTGCAGGCTAATGAAAAACTATTTATCAATTTGTTCATCTTTACTCTTTCTCATTCTAGGGAATCCTGAGGCGTTTCCAGGACAGAATGGATATGAAGTCCCTGGAGTTAGGTTCAGGGTCTGCCTCAGGGTCTCCCCCCAGTGGGATGAGTCTGGAAAACCTCAGAATAGAGACATCCTGCTCAGAAAGGCAAACTACAGCTGACTCCCTTATAAGTAGAGAAACATAACTTCCTGTCATTAAATCTGAATTAATTATTCATGTTTTAAAATAAATTTCAATATAATACTGTTCTGTACCTCACCTACTTTTTTATTTAATCTAAACCGCTTGTTGTGAATTTGTGATATGTTTGTATTTTGCTATTATTACACTGTTACTACACTGCCGAAGTCATCCAAAACATTTGATGTTTCTGGTATTTGTTTTAATCTGTTTTACATTCACCTGAAGGTATGAATGTAGGTATATGATAAACACTTCCTTACTAATGAAAAAAAAGTAAATATCATCAATGCTTCCTTTTTACTTTTCCCTAAATAGGACTGTTTCATATTCTGTTGATGCTAAATGTAGATGTTTATAGATACTTTCCTAAAGTTATTTCTTCTCATCATTATTCTTCTAAAAACACAGATTTAACACATAGCTTCATTACGTCTGCATAAAAAAGTTGCTTCAATTTGCTCATTTTCTGTTGTCAGTGACAGCAGAGGAACTTTGTCCCACTAAGCGCCTCTCTGTCCAGCTTGGCTCCACTCTGTACTGACCTGACGCGGCTGGTGGTCTGTACTTTGGGCAGGTTGATGGTACTTTTGCCACCCTGAGGCGTCTCTGTGATGGGTTTGGTTTTGATGAGGTCAGGGGCCGTGCGGATTGACACCTGTTGCTGGAGACCTCCAGCAATGATGCCCCTGCTTGTCAGTACAAATGAGTAGTCGGTATCCGGCTGCAGCTGTGTGATCAACTTCCTCTTTTGATTTCCCTCCACCTCTACACTTTGTTGGTTATACAAAATCTGCAAAAGAAAAAAAGAATATTAGAAAAAGAGTTAGAGGCATATATTTGTTTTGATGACAATGCTGATAATTTTGCCTGACTTCTTACCTTAAACGGAGCCTGAGATTTGTGGTTTTCCGGCAAATCCCAGGTGAGGAGCACAGATGTTTTTGTGACGGCTTTGACACCAAAGTTAAGGGTTGGGAAATCTAAAAAGAGATTTTTTTTTCTTATTAATAAATTTAGAATTATTCTTTATTATGGTCTTATATAAAATCCAATTAAATGCATTAAAGTTACAATATAAAACATTCCAAGGAGTTATCTCTGCAAGACAACAGCAGAAGGCTGAGATCTTAAAGACCAGTGAAAAATGTGTATGGCAGTAAAAAGGGCAACCTGTGTCTTAAAATAGGCATCAATCTTCTAATTAATGAGAAGTCTTACATTTATACGATTATAAAACCCATGAAAAGGTAGATGCTGGGTGCGCTTTAGATTTATGTGTAATAGGTTGGAGGATGAGGACGCCTGGCAATGTGACTGTAGCGTGTAATGAGATTAGCACTCTGTAAATCAATAAACAGAGCTGCAGTACACTGAGAGAGGAAGATGAGAGAGACATGCCACTGATGGAGACAAAAGTGGCTCTCTGGAGAAGTGAAGGCGCCGGAAAATGTTATGAAACACATGGACTTGTTGACATGCGTATGGAAAAGCCCTGATCTTATGTTTCCAAAGCAAACATCCATAAAGTGTTTATGCATAAATGTCATACCGTTCGACATGGTCCTGCTCTGGATGCTGGGGCTGAGGGGTCCACCGCCCTTGCTGGTGAAAGCCTGCACACGGATGTCATAAGTGGTGTCTGGGTTGAGGCCCTCGATGGTGAGGTGCGTGTCCTCTGTGCTGCTGGTGTTGTCTTGCTGATTGTTTATGTCCCTGTACACCACCAGGTAGTGAGTTATCTTGCCGTTTCTTTCCTTCAAGTTCGGGGGTTCCCAGGTGAGCTGTGTGCTGGACTGGGTGAGCCCGGTCACCTTCAGGTTGAGGGGGAAGCCGGTTGGCTTGTCTTCGGTGGTGCTGATCTCTTTCACATAGGCTTCACCGGCGCCGGCGCGGTTGCGAGCGCTGAGGCGGAAGATATAGGTTGCTCCTTTGTGGAGCTCGGTGACGGTGTGGTGGTCTTTAGTTTTGCTCAGCTCCAGTGAGGTGAAAGCCTCCTCATCTGTGCGCTTGTACTGCAGCTGGTAGCCAATCAACTCCCCCACCATCTCCTTGGGAGGTTGCCACTGGATCAGTGCTGTGTTGCCCATGGTGGTGCTGATCATCATAGTCGGCTTGCCTGGCACTGGGTGGACAAAAAAAACAAAAATAAAATCAGAGGCATTATGTTAAAAAGTTAAATACTGCTGCACCGAACAGCTCAAATACATTCTATGCTCCTTAGATGCTTTAAATAGGAGTTCTTTATTGACCAGGGGGACTATAATGGTAGCAGTTATCAACAACTCAGGTAATGATACAAACAAAAGCCTTAGAACAATAACTGCAGAGGCTCTCAGAGCTCATAATGAAGTTTAAATCATTCTAATGAATGTTGATACTTTGCTGAGCAGCTATTTTCCTTGGAGCCAAATTTCAATTTATAATCTCCAAACTGACTTTTCAAATCTCTAATGTGGTTTCCAGGGCATTTGGAGGGGAAACGGGTCCACAGCATGAGGTGTTTTTCAGCAGTCATCCTTGTTTTAAGCCGAACCCACTAAGAGTTAAGCTTGCCAGGAAGCTCAGTCAAAAAAGCCCCAAATTCCAGTTAAAGACCCAGAAGCATTGAGAAATAAAATAAAACAAAAAAAGAACAGTTATAGTAGTAGATTTTATTTTCCCAGCGTTTTATCATCATTACACTGTCACATGTACAGAGCAACGAAATAAACTCTTTGCGTTTAACCCATCCCCTTAGGGAGCAGTGTGTTGCCATTGCACGGCGCCCGGGGAGCAGTGTGGGGTTAAGGGTCTATGCTCAGGGACCCAGAGTGACAATCCGTGGGAGTGGGGCTTAAACTCAGAACCTCAGGATTCCTAGAACAAGGCCGCCACTCCCCAAAGGCATTCTGTTTGCATGACGGGAGACTTACCACTTGAGCTAGCCAGCCAAAGTAGATGGTTTTAGATGGTAAAGGTTGGTATTTTGTTGCATGTATTGACACACAATATGCCACTCTTTGCTGCAGCTTTGAAGGGAGTTTTTATTTAAGAACCATCTTTGGATCACAGATCCAGTTTGTTGATTACAGTAAGAGATTGGCTGCTTCAGGGGAGCTTGAATAAAGATCAACAGATATCTGCTTACTTTCTCTTTTCCATTTGGACGAGTGGCTAAGGGAACTTGAGCATTTTTCCAACTCACATTTATAAAACTGCAAAACAGGGAGCCATGCATAAAACCTCCTAGGCAAACATTAAAATGTAAAGACAACATCAGTTACCTTTATTTCAATGTAATTTTTAGTCAACCAGCAATAAAAGCAGTGTTGATTTGTTTTAATTATACTACTGCGATAAAAGCATTTCTTTAAACAGTTGAAAGGTTCATTTTCTGCACATTAATACTGATAATACAAAGCAGTATATTATGGGAAAAACATTCACTTTCGCTTTTGTGTAAGTTCACCAACACAACCAGTCAGATGAATCTTTCATTGTTTCATAAAACTAACATAAATAATATTAAAATAATGAGAAATTAAGCGTTATAATGTTTTTTTCTTTTAACTATAAAGCATAATACCATAAAATATATTAGGTTTGACTAACTAAAGCTCATAATTTCTGTCATAAACCTCAATTTTTGAAATATATTATGCTAAGATGTCAATAAATGTATAAGACAACCCATGTAACCCTTTGATGTCACCAGTAGATCCCAGAAACCTCCATAGATGTTTGAAGGGCAAAAGGCCTTAGTGCACATTCAGTGATTGTCTGATTTGTGCATGTTTTTTTGTTTACCTAAAAAACATAAAGAAAACGGCTGCTAACCTGCTCCAGTTGTAGTGACCACTTTAGCTTTGCTCCGAGCTCCGTCGCCCTTGGTGGTGTAAGCAGCCACAGTGACAGAGTAGGTGGTTTCAGCATGTAGTCCACCAATAATAGCTTCCTGTAAAGCAGCGAAATAACAAGGAATCAGTGAAGCTGGCTAAAGCAAACCTGTTCGTTGATGAGATTATTAAAAGAGCTCACATCCCCTTAGAAAACACACAGCACCAAAAGAAACCATAATGAGAATAAAACCCCTCCCCCTTATTTTACTTGATGAAAAAACCTAAAGCAATATATTTAACATTAAACCCCAAACACAAAAAGAACGAGAAATTTCTCTTGGATAAGAAAAACTCCTTCGCCCAACTGTAAGGCACACGCTGCACCCATTAACCAACAAACCAAATGAACCAGAACATCACCAGTGTGTCAGCGTTCATGCATGCCGCATGGATAAGCATTGGATTATACCCAGAGGAGCTTAGGATCATCACTGCACTGCAGTTTGCTCAAACCCAACAAAAAACATAACTTCTTACTGTTGGACAGGTGGAAAAAAAAAACATTTTTTGGTAAAAAAATACTAGACCTTTAAATGACAAAGTTGAATTTGGTCTCCTCTGAGTGGATGCCCATACGGTTTATGCACAGAACTCAGACACACTTAAGGTGGTTGAACAAATCAGTAACTTAGCAGTGAGGAACAAACAGAAAAAACAACAACTGTTATGTGTAACCTGCTGCAGTGCTGGCACTCACTACACCAGCCTGCATCAGTCAGAACAAAAACACACCCACACTCTGGAATTAAACGCGGCGCGCTTGATCGAAGCCAATATGTAAACAGACAAACAAACACAAACACACACACCTGATTATGCATACTTACCAGTAAATACAGGCCTATGCAAATGGTTTAGGTCACTTCTGATTTCTTTATATTTTGCTTACAAAAAGTGGCGCTGTTTGTTTTTTTTCCCTTAAAGTGGTATTTTTGTTTTATTTGGACGACAACTTCCTTTCCCACTTATTGTCCAGCATTCTTGGTAAAAAGAGCAATTGGTGGTGATATATAATGTGATCTGAACTTCCTTTTTTTTTTCTAAGTTGTTATGGTAGGACACACCAACAGGTGCCTTACCTATAAATGATTCGTTAATGAGTGTGTTGAAAAAAAGATTTGCAAAAAACAATGGATATCTGGTGATTTTCTGCTTAATGAACCGTGAGCAGATACTCAGATACATGAAGTATAAGTATAAGCAGATAATAAACGTTTTTCTATAACATGACAAAATGGGAATTTAAACATAGAACAGGGAGACTGAATGGATTACAAAAGAAGTTGCTAAGTTTTATTCCTTTTAGCTTTTGACCTCCAGATCTCAGTCAGGAAAATGACTAATTCCGGCCACATGTAATGTGCTGATCTCTAAAATCAGCTACCACAGTATAGATGTCAGATTAAATAATACTACTTATACTTCAGCAATAGTATCTAGATGTTACTTTATTGTATCTCTTATACTATATCTGTTGGTTGTGCTGTTCTTTTTAGATCTCTTTGCAGGTGATGAAGCAGACTGAAGATGTTTTTTCGTTGTCTCCCTTTTAATCTTCTCTTTTTTCATTTTTTCTCCTTTTTTTCTGTTTTTCCTTTCCTCTTATACTTACATTGCAGTGTCCATATAATCTGTAATACTCCCTGCATAATTATAATAAATCTATTTCAATGCATAAATCAAGCAGAACACTATGGCGATAGCCCTACTGCTCCACTTGTGAAAGCAAAACCTATTGGACTCTGTTTTTGGCATCAAGACAATTATTTTTATTAGGAGCACAGTTGAAAATGTTTACTTTGTAATTATTTTATGCTTGGCTACATATATAACCTAGGATATTAATAACTGCTTTTGTCTAAACCAAAATGTTAATGATGTTCTTATTTTGCGATGATTTCAAAGGGAAATCAGACTCGGTTTGACAATCAGAGACTCAACTGTCACCCATGCATCACTTATTTTTAGAAAATTAACAGAATCTATGGATCTAATTAGTAACTGGACTGGAAAAACCAGATAACTGGATAAATAATTTTAACCTTAATGTCTACATTTACATCTAAATTTTAAGATGTTGTAGATCTTGCTGCTTGGGATCTGTAAACCCTGATTTTGATTTAAGCTGTTCAATATCTTGGTAAAATGCCTTTAAAATGCTTTAGCTGATTGTTAATTTGTATCAAGCAGCTAGTGTGTGAGCAACTTTGAAAGACCTTGAGAAAACTTTGATAATCGTAACTATAAGATTACAAGAAAATCTCCTCCAAAATTATACATGATGACAGACAGAGTTGTGCAGATGAGAGCACACTTAGAAAGAAATGCTTGCGGCTTCAGCACACATGCTTGAGTTATCTGGTTCTATCTGGAGCCATTTAGAGGACAAGTACACAGACTGCTGCAAGCATTCCTCCAGGAACTGCTCTCAAACTTCAGATACTTGAAATATTATATGGCTTTGCCCTATTGCTGTTTCTCTAGCTAACGAAGTTTTAATTTCCTTAACACAAGAATATTTAATGGTCTATATAAGCAAGCTCTGTTCAACTGGGCTTTTTACTGCCTTCCTCTTTAAGGGACATCCAGCACTCCCATGCTAACCTTTAAGAGAGATGGGAGAAAAATGCTAAATTACTGTATAATAAAACCATTTCAACTTTATGGAGGAATTCTCATTACTTTATTCATTCAAAATGGCTTTAACAATCTCTGCGATGGCAACAGCAGAGATGGTCTCTTCCTAAGCACTGGCAAGGTCGACTCAGGTCTGGTAACCCTTTGGAAACTAGGCACAAAGTAGAGAAAGCAAAGCTTTCCTTCAGAGCAAATGCTTAGGGCAGCACCAAAGGGTATTACAAAGATTATCAAGTTATAGAAATTGATTTTTTACAATCCAAACTGAAATGGGAAGTGTCAAGAGACAATTGGTGAAACAGATAAAAAACTGTATAATTCCTGCTTTTAGCTAAAGCACAATATCTGCTGTAATCTCTGTCCCTTGTTGCGCATTACTGGGGTTAAACATTACCTAAAATAAAAAAAAAGGAGCTTTAAAATCCAACTCCCTGCCAAATAAAGGTCAGCACGACGACATGTTGATGTTTCTACTGCAGACATCCGTCTGCGGTGTGTCACACTGCATTAGCTACCTGGTAAACACAATTCTAAGTAAACAACAGAGACATGTGAAACGGGAGACATCTTCTGACGGTATCCGGTTCGCTGTCTGACAGGTGTTAATCAACGCATTAAAGGCAGAGGGACCTGAGCCAAGCCCGACTCATGGCATGAGGCTGCAAGAGGAATCTGTGACCAGGTTCCTGCAGCTTAGCGTTATCGCGTACAACCAACCGGCTGCACATACCCTGCTGCTCACTTATTAAAGGTGCAGATTAAAGCACTGGTGTTGAAGTGATTTTACCAGTTTGACAGGCTAAAACCTTTGCAGTTTTCTAATTAAAGACTGCAGTAATCGTCTTGGTTAGACCCATAGATGTTCCCCTGCTCTTCTCTCCCCCCTCCAAGCTTAGACTCAGTTTCTCTTATGATATAAATATTCTCTCATCAGATGCACACCTTCTAGTCTGCCAATGGCACTGCATTGCTGTAGGTAAGGAATTTAAAACAAGGACATTTTATCTTTAGGCCTAATCTAATTCATGAGCTACTGTATTATCTTTTTCAGAGCATTTAATTCTAAACTGTATTTAAATATTTAACAAGTTGTTACATTATATATATATATATATATATATATATATATATATATATATATATATATATATATATATATATATATATATATTGATATGTTATATTAAAGAAATAAACGGGTATATAGGAAAAATAGAGCACAAAATTCTGAATGAATCAAACAAGAGGCTCTTTTTTTAGTTGGTATCAAACTCCAGGTCCAGAGAATATTTATCAGAAAAAAAAGATGTATTAGCACAGCCCTGTTTTTTTTATAGTAGCAGTTCTGCATAATTAATGCTTTCCATTTTTACTGCTAATAACAATCTGCAACAGAGTAACAGACAAGAAAGATGATTTAAAATACTGTGAGTCTACAGTGACTAACTATTAGATGCTAATGACACAAACGTTTACATTTTCTTTGGAGCCTCCTCTCAATGCAATTTTTTGTTTTACTTTATTCAAAAACAGTGCATCTGCTAAAAAAATTCTAATATTTTATTTTTCTTCAAAATATTTTTATATTATCTCTGAAAACTCATTAGTTATTCTAATCCTGCATTATCTTGTGTTATGATATACAACATATATTTCTAATTATTAGATGAGCTAATCTTAAAAAGTGATTCACTTTTTACTTGTTAGGAAAAAAAAACTATAGAAATAGGAATTGAATGACATGACTGGCCAACCTTTAGGCGCTAACAGTCAGCATTTATAAAATCAATCTTTATTTTATCCAAACACAGGATACTTTGTTTCATCCAGAAAAGAACTATTCTCCATTCTTTTGAACACACAAAGATTGTATTTGTTGGCCGGATGAATTCTGACATCCCTGTTTATTAAATATTACTTATTCTGTATTCTGTACAATCTGTTCCTCCCTACTAGTGCAGGTATGAAATAAAGAAAAACTAGGGCAGAGTGTCAGATAAGATACAAAAGATTTGCAAGGATTGGGAGAATCCCAGAGCTGGCAAACTATTAGTCAGTAGTTATCATAATGGCAAAATACTGCATTCTGACTTTTTTTTATAGTGACAGTCCTCTGGAACAACTATAGCTGATTTATGAAACCTTTACTCTTTGCTCCCATACGTTGTATAGCTAAAATCTCACCTACGCGTGGAGGATTTAGTGTGTTTTCTAATCACACCAGCTTGATGCATCGACGCAACTCTTTTTAAACCTTCCCATGTTTTTTCTTGAGTCCCTGACTGGGAAAAGCAAGTGTCTCTGCATTTACAGTTGTGCCTTATGACTTCTAGGAGGTAATAAGCCATAACAAAGAGCCGCATGACAGCCAGGGAGCAGAGAGCTGCCATCCAGGCATTTAAAAGAACATGAAAGGCTGGTGGAAACCTCGGAGATGTGGAGCTGATAAAACCCCACAGCTCCTCCCCTCAGATAGACATGTCATCTTGAACGGCGTGGGAAGACAGCAGGTTAGCCGAGCCTGATTAATGTCAGCATCACACTGAGACAGTGACACCCAGCCTTTTGACTGCAGCGTACACTCAGTGGCGGAGAGCCCTCCATGCACACTGCTCCACAGGCCTCCATATTTGCAAATGCGCAGCTGTTGCTGTTTTTCCTTATATTATAAAATGTTGACCTGTACAATATCCTTGTTGGAAATGGTACTCATGCTCAGCAGTTGCAGTGGTGCTGAAAAAAAAATAATAATAATCATGTGTGCACACAGGCACACACACCATCACATGCAGAGAGAAAAACACTGGGGCAGACGGTTCTGGCTGCGGTTGTGATGGGGTTATGATCTTTCATGAGGATTCACACTGAGTGGATTACAGGCATGGCTTACACAGAAACAAACACACGTACACCGACTTGTGATCCAAAACACACAAGCACCCCCAAAAACTGCAGAGGGGAGAAGAACCTTCACTGCAAGACAAACCCCAGCAGCACACATGAGGGCTACTCACATGCTCGGTGGACTCTTCAATATTCCACTGATGGGAGAGAAGACACAGGACAACAGGGCGGGGAGAGAAATGAGTCAGAAACAACACAACAGGAAAAAAAGCACTCGTCTTTTTTTCTCTGGCAGATGAATGTAGGTGTCAATAGAGTCATGCTGCGGAAAAAGGAGGGAAAAAAATAAAGCTGTGATAGACGAGATGGAGGAAAAGAAAGAAAGGGAATGAAGGAAAGCTGAGTGGCATGAAATAAAAGGGAGAAATGGTTGTGAAATTCATTAGTTTGTAATGCACTGCCTTGTTTCCCCATTCACCTTTGAATCCGTGGAAATTTAAGGCAACTTCTGTTAGGTATGATAGCTGCCTCATTGTGGAAATAAACTATGCAGAGTCTGTGAACCGTTTCGTTTTCCCCTAACGGAGGCGAAGGGAAGAGCTTTTATTCATTACATTTCAATATATGTTTCCAAAATGTTCTCCCTGCTCGCTGTGCTCGGCCGAGTAATTCCCGGGGGGGAAGTGAAAGCCCATTTCGGTGCCGCAGGGCTCCGTCAGCGTCGAGCATGAAATCCTATTACCAGCGCCGCTGTGTTAGCCCTGTGACATCAAACCCTGCTGATGCAGAACGCAACGGCTGGTGTTCACCAGCTCAGTCACTGCAGAGGAGTTCACTGATGGGTGGCCTGGCTGACAACAGGGGCAGGAGAGATGACACTGGTGACACTGATGAGGGACAGAATAGAGAAGAGAAGCAGGTAGGGGCGGAGGTGAGGATGTGTGGGCGACTATTGTATCAGCACCGAGGGAGAAGAAGGAGAGCAAAGGCAAACCGAGGAGGGATTGCTAATGCTAAAACAGCATCAACGCATCAAGAGTGACTGTTAGAGAGCCACACCTACATAATGTACACCTACAGACTCCAAAACTTTAAGCCTGGATTCCTGATTTTGGTTTTAGACAAGTTTTAACCTCTTAAAATCAAATTGAGCGGATATTTATCTATGAGAACTACAGAACAAAACCAGATAACTCTACTAGGTTTTCTCTCTCTTGCTCTTTTGCATTTGAATTGAGCTCAGATGTTTGCCACATTTCACCATATATATACGGCAAAACGATCTAGAAATTAGTAGAAATGTTTGAAAGTAAGTATTTTTTCCCTCAATTTGAGATGATTTGCCAATAAAATAAGGATTTTTACTCTTAAAATCAGAAATCAGCTAAAAAGCACTTGAAATAAGACAATAATTATTTTTTTTATTTTGTTTTAAATGTAAATTGTCTTGTCCCTTTAGCAAAGTGTCTCACCTCCTCAATTCAGGAAAAAATGCATTTATTTTAAGAAAAATATTTAGATTTCAATTTTTAGCAGTGTGGTACCTCCAGTAAGTTCTGGGTATATGCAGAGGTCTTTCCTAATGGGATGTATCTGAAAAACCTTCTTGCCATGCTGTTATAGATGAATCTGGATGAGCCTGTCCTGAAGGCTAAGGAAGCCCCTGTTAGGAGCTCATTTCACCTGCTAATACATATATTCTCATTATTCAGTCATGATCCTTATGAGAAACAGAGAGCTGTTTAACAAAGCTATTCTATTTTAATACAAATAATTGAAGTAGTGCTGGAATTACTGCAGATGGGACCATAATTCATATCCTAGAACAAAAATCAAGAAACAATTAGACTTTTTCACCATTATAAACTATTATGTCCAAGTTAAGTACCAAAAGGATTTCACATCTTATTTTTTACCACTCAACATGGTTGTACACAATATTCTCCACCCTTTTCTCTGCCAATATTTTCTTTTTCCAACCTGTTAAGTGGCTTAAGAGACGGTGTGTCCCTGCTGAATTGAGTGGAAACACATGGCACATCAAAACTGCAGCCCTGACATAGCAGAGCACTAAAAAGTAGCATTTAAAAGCAGCTGCTCCTTAACTCTACGTCTAACAGTTTGCGATGTTCCTAATTGCTTAATTTGTTTGCCATCAATTCAGCTCAGTATGTCAACAGAACAGCAAACACATTAAGGTTCACAAGTTCCTATCTCATCTTGGGCTTAATCCGCTTTCAGCTGCAACTGCTTTTGCTTTATGCCGAAATCCACAGGAGAATTATAAATTATCCTCCATTTATATTTTGAATGCCAACGCAAGCTGAAAACACATCACTGCTGATAAGCGTCGTTTGTGGAAACGGAGCAGTATAATTTGCAGGCGGGTGAATGCAAATGTGATGACATGGGCTTAGATGTGTTGCTATAAAAAAGGGAACGAGGGGAGAACGAGTGATGTGGAAGAGAAGGAGCTGTCATGATTGATAGAGTGAAACGGGCTGAGGTGCTTCTTTTCTCCTGCTTTTTTTTTTCCGTCCCCAATTTCCATTCAACTCCACTCTGGGGCAGCGGAGGCCGTAGAGGCAGTGAAGCATCGACTCGCTCACATAAACTACAAAAATGCATGAGTGGTCAAACCAAATGAACCTGGAAAGTAATGCTGAATGGAGGCAAACTTGGGAAGAAAGGAGACTCGGGTAGAAGCTCCGAGTGAGGCTAATGGCTTCGCATATTCAACCATTTTTAAGATATTGTATGTGAGAAAGAGCCTGCATGTTGCTGTGAGGGTACTGTGATGGAGCTGGCTGTGCGGCGTCGAGTTGCCAGCTCAGGTTTGGGTCACTCTTCCAACAGGAGATCGGCTGCAGAGGGGTTGATAACATCACACTGTTAACGCGGCCTCTGGTTTAAATTTAGCAGGGAAATGAGGGCGCTGTGTGGGTTTCTGTTTGAAAAGAAAAGAAGCGCTTAAAGTGCCCACGCACAGGCGAGCTCTCCTAGCTCTCCTAACAGCATTTCAGCTAACCCTGAGAAAGGGTGAAAAGGAGCCATAAGCATGGAGGGAAAGAGGGCTGGAGGGGTTTGGGTGGGGGAAGTGGTTTTGAATGGATCTGCAATTCAATCACTTGGTTTAGGATTGTGATTGAAGTCTAAAGCTATGTGGCAATACGCTTTCAGAAGCCTGGAAAATGGGGATCTTCCTCCTGGAATTCTCACTGTGCAGCTAATTCAGGTGAAAGGGCGGCTATGAAACTGATTTCACAAGACATTAGGGCAATTTCTTTGGAGAAATGCTTATGAAGGTGACAACAAAGAGGAAAATTTTTGTTTTTTTCCCCTCTATCATCCTTTACAGGTGTGTTAGCACGATTTGTATGATTCTCAAGATGAGTCACTAACTCTTTCCGACAAGCTGGAACGCCTACTAGGAGGCTGTTTTTTTGCAGGAAGCATGCTGGCTCATGTTATCTTTGTTGTTTGGGTACGTGAATGGGAAGATGTGTGAAAAAGGAGGATTGTTCTAAAACAGGTTGAGCGATCAAGGATAAGGGACTGCTGTCTGACTGTGTGGTCTTTAATGACGTCTAGGCAGGTCCTTGCAGGTTGACTACTCAATGATGAGTCTGTTGAGATGAGTCAGCCAAGGGTAACAGACCTGCACGCAAGGATCTGATAATTACTCAACCAGCTTTCAAGCAAAGCGGGAGCAAAAGGAGGCCAAATATGAGAGAGGAAAGGGAAAAAGAAAGGAAAATCTAGGGTCTGCCAATGAGGGAGCCCGTTAAAGGTGCTCTGAACCCATGACTTGAAGACAGCAGCTATACAGTGGGCTAATTTACCCAGGGCTCTCTTGTCTTTTGTATACCCTAAATGAGACATGGCGGGGAGCTTTGTCTGCATAACAAACAGGTTCATGTTCAGTTCAGTTTTCAGTATAAACAACTCAAGAGAAAATCATGCGGAACGTGCCGCCGCTGCGAGCAACACTCGAAGAAGGACGAGCAGCCACCACCATCTTCTCTTCTGTTTCAAGACCACAACAGGCTGATAACAGTGGAGTGTCAGCGGGAGCTGCAATAAACAACTGCCGCTAAACAAACGTTGGCCAGTGTTTGGGAGATCAGGGCTCCTTTTTTCACCAGGTGTAGAGTCATGGCCAGTTTGTTGTGTGTCAGTCAGATTCTTTGTCCACATATATTCTCAGCGACCTCCAGACAAACCTAAGGGGCTTAACCTTACTGTGAGAGAACTACAGAAAACTGGTTTTGCAAGAAAGCAAATCCAAAAGATCCTGTTAAAACAAATCTGATTGTTTGCAACAGCTGTGGTTTCGTAAAATGGATTATTTTATTTTAAAAATGTAATTAATGAATGTTAGATTCCTTTAAAGTCTGTGACAGTCATTTCCTGGGAATTAAACTGACAATTCCTCTAAAAGGACTGCTGCCATTTATTTGACAAAGTGATCAAAGGCTATCTAGAGTGCACCAGTAGTTATAGAAATATCTTCACCTTTACATACACGTTTAGCTTTTTTTATCCATACAAAGCTCCAATGATCCAGTGTTCATTTGTGAAGCCTTTTTTCTCTGACCCAAAGCACCGACTAAGCTACTGCTGATATAAACTTTACATCTTTCCTTTTGCTTCCCCTCATAAAAAACAAAAAAAAAAACCTCAAACACCCAGCTGTTGATACAACTATTTTTTGTCCTCAGTTTTTCTGTCATAGAAAGTGCTTCAGCAATTAATTTGCTTTTTCTTTTCAAAAGGAAGTAGTAGTTCTTACCTACTACGCCACAGATGAGATGCAATTTTGTGTATCTGTATATTTGTTATTCTAGTTCAGACGCCATCACTGAGCTTATTTTTGTTGCTGGTTTCTTTATAACAAAGTGGTTTCTTAAAACTCTTGCAGTATGTCTATATATGTCGGTATAATCAAGTTCAGTTAGGTAAACTTCGGGTAACTTTTTACCAATTGGCATTAAACAATTAGCCGTCTTTAACTATACAATGTTATTGGAACTAGTAAAAAAGAAGACTGAATTGGAATAAACTGTATGGTCTAGATGTCACTCATATATTATTTCACAGATGCAGAACATATATAAAGACCAAGTTGAAGAGCTTCTCATCAATTCAGAGGACACTAATTTGAATCAATTTCCTGTTAAAGACTACCGAGGACAGAAGATCATAAATTCTTATGCTTGAACCAATAAACAACAAGCAGGTTTTTAAGCTGCTTTTTTTTTGCAGAATCAGGCAGCCATGAGAGTTGGGCTTTTATGGCTTAAGGATATTCATGAATCTCAGAGTCGCACTTAAGGATTACAATCTCATCCATCTTTTGGTATTGTGCAGCTTTGGGTGATTCGGTGCACTTTGCATTAACGTGTAAAGGGGCCGTGTCAGGGAAATAACTTTAATTTACAAACATGGTAACAAGGCAGTGCATATGTATTGGTGTTAAAAATTGCAAGGGGAGCTGCATTGATTTCACTAAGCCACATGCTGATGTTACCAACAGAAAATTTATCCAACAGCTATTACTGTTGAGTTTAAGTGGATTTCATTCTGACAGCTAATCCAAAGCTGTGGGAGCAGGGTACCAATTTAGACTTAAATGTCACATGTGGAAAAATGGGAGGAATAAATAGAGAGAATACTGCAGTAGATAGAAAGAAAGTTCAATGTCTTGTCCTGAGTAGAAAACTGAACAGTGTAGAGGGCAGTAGAGAGAGAAAAGCAAAGGAAAGTACCTAGAAAGGTAAAGAGGGGGGAAAGAAAGGCTGGGCAAGCCTAAGATGGTTCATTACCTGAGCCTCTGGCAAAGCAACATCCATGATGTTCGGCTGGCCTCGTGGTTCACCGTTTTCCAGCCGCGAAAAGATGACTTGATAGCCTCTGATTTGTCCATGCTGCTTCACCTGGACGGGAGGTTTCCAGGTAACCCGGATGGCTGTTGAGTTTATGGCATCCACCTCCAGCTTCCTGGGAGGGGCTCCTGGCACTGGAGAACAAACATTGGTGGATGGCAGGACACAACAGTGAGATAAAGAGGCAAAGAGTGAGACACAGCTGTCAATAATATATATCTTCCATGGTTTAGTTGGACAAGTATGTTTCATCTCATTGTGGAGGTTTTGGCAAACAAAAACCCAATGTGGCGTCCCGCAGGGCTCCACTTTTGGATACATTTTAATTAATATCTTCATCATCCTTCCCACATACTACAACATGTCGTATTGTTTGTAAGCTGATGGTCACATGATAACATTCTATTACAGTTAGCGAATCAGCATATAGATGATATAAATTAGTGAAAGGGTTGAAATTTCCTCCAACTTGATGGAGAAAAATAATCCCTTATGTAAGCCAGACTATGTGTAAAGACTACCTAAAATAAAACTGTGTGCAACAGTTATTCAATAAAGGTTAAAGGTTAATTTATTAGTAAATTTCTGTTACATTGTTTAAATAGCTGTTTTTTTTTTTTTTTTAAGAATTTCTTTTATTCCTTTAATGATTGTAAAGTGCTTTGAGTTACCTCGTATATAAAGGGTACAAAACTCGTCTTGATAAAACTCTATTGAAAAAAACTTTGTAGGGATAAGTGGTTTTAGATGTGTTCATAAATTTAATCAATGCTCACTTCAGATGATCCAAGGCTACTGCTTCCCCCAAAACACCACATACTCTACAGCATGTAGTCTAGTCATGTCTGTACTGCCCTTAATTCCAGTATGAAATTAGCCGTGTTGCAGCAAACTTCAAACACATTAATTATAGACGAGTCTCTCTTAGGAGAAGCCGTCCTCTATTGCACTGCAAACAAAATGAGAAACGTGTGGGGGGAAAAGGAGAGAAGAGTGATAAAAAAGGAGGCAAGATCAGTTCCACTCCTGTTCTTTAGTGTGGACAAAACAGACAGCATTCACACAGAGTAAGCAGAGGAAAGTGACACAGAACTGAACCCCAGGGAGTGATGAGATTCAAGATGAAAACAGGAAGAGAAAGAAGGTGATCCCAATCAGCTACCACCGCCACCTCATTACCTTAGAGTTTAGGAACAAGGAAAATGAGCCAGCAAGCAAGGGGAAGGTAAAGGAAGTTAGTGACAGGCTGCTTCAAGGGACTGATGCGTAAACCTACCATCCTCCTTGGTTCTTATCTTGACTGGGACACTCTCGGGGCCTGGGCCCACATCAGTGTGTGCCCTCACCCACACATCATACTCAGTCCACTTCTCCAGGCCTTCCAGCACATAGCTGGTGGCATCCGCACCAATGTCGGACACATCGTGCCGCTCCGTGTCCTCTCCTGCCGGAGCCTGGTAGCTGATTGTGTAGCGCACGATGGCACCATGGCGACTGTCGGCAGGCGGCGCCACCCAACTCACCTTGAGGCTTGTGGAAGTCAGGCTGACCACGTGAACCTCCTGAGGTGGGGCAGAGGGAGCTGCAGGGGGGGAGGGAAGGGAGCAAGACCACACGGAGGAAGGCCACGGATCAAGCAAACTAAAAAAAAACTAAAAACGCTCACAAAACATGGGGAATAAATAAATACAATAAAATTAATAAAATAAAAACTACAGAAGCTTTTTGCAAGAGATTCAAACAACTTAACAGAAGTTAGATAATTTGCAGAAATTCAGTAGTGATAAATCATTTACAAAGGACACTTTTTAATGACATTCTGAAACGCAGTGACAGCAATTATCGGTTTCTTATGGCATTTAAAAGTGTTCTCTTCCCAACTCCTTCAAAACTCAAAGTTGCCAAGGTCTGATTGCAAAAAGCTTTCATACTAAACAGAATGATACCTCCAGACTGAGAGATTTGGATGCAAAAAACAAGCCTAAATCAGTCCAATGCTTTAGCTGCGTTCGGCGCCACAATTATGCAGGAGGCAATGAAACCACAGGGTGAGGCGGACTGAATATAAGATGTGCCAAAAAGTTTACAAGGCCGTACGTTTTATGAAGACGTAATTTGTCCTTAACCGCCCCCCTGTGCTGCCTCTTGCAGCATGTGGAGGGAGCAATAAACGGGCCATGGATGTGTGAGCTTGTGAACAAGTGCTTGACAGCGTTGACTGGTGTTAACACGCTTATGTCAAATCTCTGGTCTTCGTTAAAGAACTTGGCTGCAGCTGACATGGGCAGTTAGAAAGGTTTGATTTTGATAATCAATAACGCTACAGTTGGTTTTGGCAAACATCTGGATTGATGCCACTAGCTTTTTAGATAAAGGAACTAAAAGCTATTCTGATGTTTTAAAAACTGTTTTTATAAAAGTTAGACTTTGTGATATTGATATCACAACCTTGAAAGTATTTTACTGTCATTTTATATCATAGAGCAACACAGATGATGTGGAAAATGTCAACTTTCCTGTACAGACCAAATAGATTTATAGCTATTATAAACCAACCTTCCTGAAAGCATAATGTTGCAAGCATCATGTAAAAACATGTAAAAGCTGGTGCTCTGGATAGAATAGACCAAAAGGAAACACAGAGCACTCATTGGAGTGCTGCTTGGGATAACTAACACACATCCAGGGAATACCATAAGGTCCAGTTGGAACGTAATTTTATCTATTCCAAGACCTAAACTTCAATTTCGAGCTTTAAAAGCTTTGCCTGTTGCAGATCTGCACAAATACTGGAAAACCTTACATATTTTTATGGACAAGACCTAAAGTGACAGCATTGATGCTTTGGGATTGCTATAGTGTTAAAAGCTGCAAAAAGATTAGAAAATCTGCAGCTCAATTTAAATATGTCCTGCTCAATCTGCAGATTAATATCAAACTTGAGAAATGAAATTAACAAAGTTGCATTGAATTAAATTGTTAAACAGTACAATTAAATTTGTTTAAACTCTCATGTCTGGAGGTAAAATAAAAACTTTCAAAAAGCAAAACTGGAACAAAACTGAAAACTAAACATTCAAAAATATATCATGCAACTAACTGTAGCATGAACCCATAAAACCTGATGAAAACAAGCTCTTCAAAACAATGAAATCACTAAAACTGGATTTTTCTTTCTCTTCAAGCATGCTGATTAATGGTGTTCTACACAGCAAACTTCACCATTATTTGGAAGATGAATTAAAACAGAAGAGATGTGAGTATGTTCTAGAAAACAGTGAACAAAAGAACTACAAAGGGGAAAAGTTAGACTGCTGACTAACTGATGATGGTATTGAGCTCCTGATCAAAAATCTGGAAGATCAAAGTGAAGGTGCACCAAACGAGGACACCACCAAAGAGAAACACAAAAACCTTAGAGACAGCATTTATGCTCAGAGACTGCAGCTGAAATCCAAATATAGTTGAGGGAAGAACATATATTCAAACTTTAAGCAACTGGAATGTGAATATTTTCTCCGACATTAGCGGCATAAACAAAACTCCTACTAACTACACACTCAGCCTCAACCTTTGCACTTGAACTGCTGGAAAAATTACCATCCTCGGTTCTCATTTTTGGCAAAGCAACTAAATTTGCACATTCATCGCACCTCGATCTATTGACTTTCAGCTATCTTAATACCTTTCAGATCAATGCATTCCCATTGGATTTCAGGTCAAGTTTAACGCAGCTGTGCTGAGCACTCAGCTAGGGGGTCAAATAGAAAAAAAAAAGGTAAATGGAGCTTACTTCTGAAGCTTGCTCTGACTCCAGAAAAAATAATGCTTAACATTTAAATGCAGGCCTGGAGAAAGTAATCAGTTCTAACTTCCCAAGGCTGCTGGCATGTGTTGAATCGAACCATCACATGCAACTCTGATTTGTTTTACAGAGTTTCCAACAAATGGTTTGCACTCGCTAGTCTGTTTTGTAAGGTATTATTTAAATGCTGCTTACAAACTAAAACATTTCTATGCATTATAGTTTTAAGCATAATTTAGGGGAAAAATAACTCATTTATAATTATTATGGTGAACCTTTGTCCATTAAAATGTCCATGAATAATAAAATCTAGTTTGCAAGATGTTTTTTTGGGTGAAAACGTTTAATTAAATTATTAATTTCTTGAAATAATTGCAGTTTCCTTCATTTGAAAAGGTAAATAAAAGAATCTGCCAACTGAATGAGTATTTCTGACCCTAAAATAGGATAATTACATACACTGTATCACAATTGAATAAAAGACTATATATTTTTTTTATTAGTTATTTTTTTTAAATGCAGATATATAATTCAGTTTTCAAGTCATGTTACCTCAAATTAAGTGCCATGCTCTTATTTCTGGAAGATTCTGTCCAATTTTATGTCACTTTTAACCTCACTTTCTACACCTTAATAAGTGGGTTACTTTGTTTTTCATCTGCCCTTTAATTTCACTTACATGTGGTCATCAAGTATTCTGTTAAAAAAAATCCTACTGTTAGAAATGCAAAAAATCTGGGCCAATGTTGATATCTGATATTAATATTGCATTTAAGGCCTATAACGGATATTTACTGATATAATATTGTATATATGGAAGATCAGCCACAGGCTGACATTGCTTCCTTGCTTTAGTTAATATAAAGAACGCTGCGCTGCATCCTAACTACTGTCACCCGATCAAACGCTGCATGGCCGAGCCTCTCCTTCTCCTTCAGTAACAACATGAAAATAAACATCAGTTGTTGACATCAACCCATTTTGACAAATCTGACCGATACCAATGTGCTTAAAAATGACCAACATCGGCTGATGCTGATATATTGTTCATCCCTTCTTACAGCCTACCTCTTTCTCCTTGAGTTACTTCCATATACAAGAAACTGCTTTTACAGCACTGTTATACATTTGCTGTAGCCCAAGGCTCACCATCTCTAAGATCCTTTCAATGCTTCCAGCACTACTCAACAGTCCAGCTTCTATCCTTTGTATGCAAGAGGAGCATAGATTTTAAATGGTGTGAATCAGCTGCTGCTAATTGACGCTACCTCCATGATTAACTTCCATTAATTACCACATTTTGATCACATTCCACAATTAAACATGTCCGCTGCTGGGTTTGTTTGCTCCCCGAAAGCTGGACTCTTTGCTCGGCTGGCGTCCATCTTTTGTGAAGGAACAAACTCAGCTTTGTAACGTCTCTGTGTTTGTTTCCAACAGGGTGATGTGTCCTTTTTGGTCCACTGCACTCAGTTAGCTTTGGAAATCACCTCATATGACTCCAAAAACTTCATGTTCCCACTTGCACAGTGCTTTTAGTAAAGTTTTAAATTTAAAGGTTACATTTGATTTATTGGGATATTATGTGAATGGACAACACAAGGTGCTGCATAATTTAAAATAGAAACAAAATAATGTCTAGTTTTGGATTTTGTTTTAAACTAAACCCTAAAAATGGTGTGCACATCTGTATCTGGCCCCCAGCGCACTGATCCCCAGCCGGCCACCTACAGAGGTCAGGATAAACAAACAGTGTGTGTCAGATTCTTTATCTGAATAAATTAGAGATGCACAATATATTGATCAAGCTGTGGTGTTGCTGTCTTCAAAAAGCTGCAGAAGAGTTGAAACTGGGTCTGACGTCAACCTGCAGCAGGACAACACTTAATATACACCAAGAGCTGAATGAGCTTAATCACAACATCCTGGGTTACAATGCCCCAATCAAAGCCCAGACAAGAACTAAAAAACAATGAGAATCTGTTACTTGAAGCTTTCCTTCCAATCTTAAATATGCTAAACATTCAATCTGTGGATGTGTAAAGCTGGCTGTACACACCCCAAATGCTTTGCTGCAATTGCAGCAATAGTCGAAAACTGAAGAGTGTTGAATGTGAGGGTCTAAGAACTAATGCACAGTCCATTTTTCTGCTTATTCAATTGTTTTGAAAAATATATATATTTTTTACTTCACAAATATTGATTACTTCTCGCTTTTCTGTCACATAAAATCCCAATAAAACACATAGAGGTTGGTGGCATTGGATGAAAAGAAAAGAAGTCCAAATGACATGAATAGTTTTAAATAAAATAAAAAAACACTGCAACTTAAACAATCACAATAACCAATAATGAGGATCTTTTTTGTTTTCTCTCAAGGTTATGAGGATTAGAAGCATGCAGTAAACACAACCCTTCTAGGGGAAGGTTGGTGTTAGCGTTGTGCCTGCATAGCAAATAATAAAACAAATAAAAGGAGTGACATTTTGATTGCTGGCACTTTGAGAGCACATAATGATATGACGCAAAGCAACACAGCACAGCTCACAACACTGGGAACAAACACATTAAACGTACCTTTGACACAGGGCCTGCCCTCTGCTAGACGGACAGGAGGGTTAGTGCTGGTGACGGAGGGGGGGGAGGTGGAAGCTGACTGGGATGACTGCACCGTCAGCATTATATGCTGCTCTCTGATTGATTTGACATTCAAGTTGCTCACACTCTCTGTTTTAAGGTCTATAAAACTCACATTTGCCCCTCACTCTCTCTCCCTCACTGAGGGGAAGGGCCTGAACCTGCCTCAGCCGCCTGGAGGGGACTATCTGAAATCACTGGGTTAGTGGCTAACAAGCAGAAAAGACAGAGTGGGGAAAAGAACAAGGAAGCACTTACTGGACTGAGCAGTGCGGGCCTGGATGGGCTGGGTGTAGACACCCAGACCTGTTTCGGAGCGGGCTGCCAGGGAGAAATAGTACAAAGTGTCCGGCTTTAGACCATCCACAGCGTAGGAGCCCGCCGGGTTGAACGTCACATGTTTCTGTTGGGATTAGATAAGGAGAGACAAAATAATAAAAACAATCATTAAAAAAAAGAGATGGTAAAACACGAGTCTGTTCATGCGCTGTGCAATAACAACATGATATAATCTTCCCCTAAAATGCAAACCGTCACAGATGGGTGCCAAAAGGGGGAGTTAAAAAAACAAGTTGTTCTCCCACTGGTGCAGTCCAAACAAGTCTAACAAATGGTCATAACAGAAGTGAGAAACATGGCTGATTGTGTTCAGATTTGGTCTTTCTCGTCATCTGAGGAGCTGACTCCATTACTGCAGCAGCACAGCCTCAGCTGATTTTCTACCTTCAGAGAGTTGCATCATAAAGAGCAACTGTGTGAAGCTCCACTGTTAAATAATGAGTCCAGCAGCAGCGAGAACTACCTGAGCCACTGTACAGAAGAGGAAATCATGCCATGAAACAGCCTGAAGTGCATGTGTTCATGTTCAAACCTTGCTATCGGAGCCGGCCTCCCAGTACTGCAGCTCATACTTGGTGATTTGGTCTTGTACCGGCCACAGCCAAGACAGTGAGATCCGACTGTCGAGCTCCGCTTCCGCCTCGAAGCTGGACGGCTGAGCAGGAACTGGTACAGAGCAGGAGAGAAGACGTATTTTAGAGTATATTTTCATGGCCCTTTGTTGGGATCTTATGTCATAAAATTAAACATCTTTATCAAAAATTGAAGAAAACCTAACTTGTCTCTATTAGTTCTGTTTTGATCCTGAGAGAGGTGATGTGTGCTGCCCCCTGGGTAAAAACCCATCATAACCTTTATGTGTCCATCAATTTTGCACATTTAGAGATTTTCTTGTCAAAACAGTTCAAACTGAATTAAAAGCACTTATTTTTTTCATTCTTGCCAGGTAAATTCAATCAACCTTGGTCACTCTGACACATGAACCAGCTTTTACCTGTTCTGGCCGCATGCTTTAATCTTTTCCAATACTGTTGCATATTTATCAATCTTGTACCAACCTACACCTGCTCTCTCTCTCTGCTTACCAAATCAACCCAACACTAATATGCTTTCATCGCCATGTTTCAAGGTAGAAGTGGATTAATTGTGATAAAATAAGCTTTGGTTTCATTTTTTAAAGCATTTCCTCCTTTCTTCTGTTTGCCTAAATCTTTCTAGAATAAAAAAGTTAGTTTCAATTAGTGAAATTATTTTACTTATACAACATTTACAGTTTTCAAGTAAGCCATATTTGATTTGCATATTACTGATAGCCGTACTGTTAATATCATCTCCACCTGAGTTGTGGTTCTCTGGAGCTCCTCTAGAGGTACCATGAGTTTCATTGTTTTAATCCTCTTAGCTTTAAATATTTTTTTCTATCATTCTGTAGATAACCTGCAACCTGCGGCCTTTATGTTGGTCTATCCAATAAAATTCCAATGCAGTACAAAACATGGTTAGAAAATGTGAAGTGGTGCAAGAGCTAAGGAAAGAACATCAAGTTAAATCTCTCTGGTGGACGATAAGTTCAATGCCTGCATCTCTAAGACATACATGGGTTTTTATGCTGTTTGACAAACACAGTCAGATAAAGTCAGCCTTCCACTAACAATGCATTCCTGGTGTTTACACACATGAGGAACTTCTCACACCATCTGGATGCTCACCTCCCTGCTGTGTTTTGACTTGCAGGATGTCAGAGGGTGGTCCGTCACCTACGGAGGTGAAGCCCAGCACCCTGAGGCTGTAGGTGATTTCAGGCGTCAGCCCTGAGATGGTTGTCAGGCTGCTGTCATCCGTGTTGTGTTTCTGCCATGCACTGAGCGGGGCCGTCATGTCAGAGCTGTAGTACACCCGGTAACCTCTTATCTGTCCGTTTGGCTCCTCCGGAGGCTCCCACTGGACCAGCATCGTGCTGGCGCTTAGCATGCGGGCCTGGACGTGGAGGGGCGGCGATGAGGGCGCCTGCTCACCGGTACGCGTTTCCACAGGGTCGCTGGGTGGGCCACGGCCAATGTTGTTCACGGCCATGACTCGGAACTCGTACTCTGAGTAGGGACTGAGGCCACCGATGCTGTAGCGGGTTGTCGCCACTCCCTCTACCTCTTGGAAGCCGTTGTCCGAGGATTTGGCTCGGTATTGGATCATGTAGTAGGAAACAGGTTCTGGGTTTCCAGAATCCCATGTGAGAGTCACACTGGTGGCGGTGGTTTCTGTCACGGTGAGGGAGGTGGGGGGCTTCGGTAAGGCTGGGGAGGAGAAGCAAATCAAAACAAATATATAAAATTAATTAACATTTTTTTGTGTTTAGCAGTTCAGAGACATCAGGCTTAATTGGGCATAAAATGGTCGTTTTCATTTCCAGCTATAAAGGAATGGATTTTACTGATAGGGATGTTGCTAAACAACCATTTTAAGTTCATTGAAAATTATATATATTTTACCTACAATCCAACATCACAGTATTTCAAATACAGCTAAAAACGGTGAAATTATTACCATCATCAGTAATCATGGTGTTTGGTATAAGCAGAGCATTGGTTATCTTGCCAGCATTAGGAGTGGAAGCAGCTGGAGGTGATTACAAAACAGTCATCCAAACACGCTTCAAACCGAGGTTTCTGCACATTTGAAGCTTTAGGATCATAAACAGTGTATATGGTGCCTTTAGGCCCTCCACAGTAACTCCTATTAACTTTTAGTCAAATATTGCTAATGCTAATTAGAGTATACATGTTTTTGTCAGGTTTTGTTGTAAAATCCTAATTTCCCCTTCAGTTTGCTTGCTGGGTGACTTTGAGGGAAGCTCTATGGGAAAAAAATCGGTTTGCTTGGCATTCACTGCATTATGTATCGCAAAGAAAACTATCCTCATGAATTGGAAGAGTAAGGATAAACTCAACATCAATCAGTACAGAGATCTGTTGTTGGATCATATTAATCTTGAGACAGCATCTGCATCCCCATCAGACCGATCTCTCTGGGCTCCCTTGATCGGCTCCATCACTTAGTGTAGTGGGGGGCTATGGGGTACGTCTTGTGGGGCGCGGGGGCTAGTTCGGGGGTCCTTGGGTCCTGGGGCCTCGGGGGGGTGCTCGGAGCGGGGTGCCTGGCGGGTCTGGCCCGGGGGACTGTTGCCCCCGTCGGGGCGGGGTCTGGGGCGCCGCGGGGGGGTCCTGCGGCGGCCGCGTGCGGTGCTCTTGGGGGGTTCCGTGGTGGCGGACGTGGGCTACTGGCCTGGTGGCTGTGCTGCTGCTGGGTGGGGCTGGGCGCCGGGCATCGGTTCTTTTGTGGTGCTGGCCGGGGTGCTTCTGCTCTGCGGGGCGTCGGGGCGTGCCTCGTCTTCCGGTGCCGGGTTTCGGTGGTTGGCCGTGGTGCTTGCCGTGGTTGCGTCGTCCGGGGGGGGCGTGGGTGGTCGCGCCTGTGGCCGGGGTTCGTGTGTGTCTGTTGTGGGCGGGTTGCGGGCGTCGGGGGTCCCTTTGGAGTGCCCCCGGGTCGGGGTGTGGCTTCGCTCTGTTGGGGCGGGTGCCGGTGACGCGTGGTGCGGTGCATCGTGCGCGGCTTGGGAGTGGAGGGTTGCTCGGTGTTTGGCGGCGGGGGGGGGGACGGGCCGTGGCCGGCGTGGCCGTCCTCCTCTCGGCGGCCTGTGGGCGGTGCGGGGCCGGAGCGGGGTGGGTCGTGCTGCTTTCGCGCCGGGCGCGGCGGGGGTGGTGGGGTCGCGTCTGCTGCTTTCTTTTTGCTGCTTGTGCCGGCTTCTGGCGGCTGGGGCGGCCTTGCTGCTCTGGCGTGCGCCGGGTGGGGCTGCTCTGTCCTTTGCTTTGCCTTGCGGCTGTGTTTGCTGTGGTCGGAGGGGGCGGGGTTGTTTCGTTGTGTTTTTGGGTGGGGGAGTCCGCCTGGGGGCTTGGTTGGTGCCGTCGGTTCGTCCTTGTAGGCCTTCCGGTGTTGTTTCTGTTGGGGCTGCTCGGGCCCCCGCATGCCGGCGGTGCGCTGCCGGGGGGATTCCTGTTCGGCGGGCTTGCCTGTCTCCTGGGAGGGCAGGCATGTTGACTTTTCTGGGGAGGAGCATCTGGGTGGAGGGGTCCTCGTGGTGTGGCGGTGGGTGTTGGGCACTGGCTTGTTTGCGGCCGTTCTTCTCCGGTGAGGGGGAGAATATTATAATTTTTTTGTTTTTGTTTTTGTTTGTTTTTTGTGTGGGAGGGGGTGTGTGGGCGGGGGGATCGGGGCTTGGAGTGGGGCTCGGGATTTGCGCTTAGCTGTGTTGTGTGGCTTTCTTCTTCTTCGGATTGGTGCTGTGGGACCGGTGTTGGGGGGAGTCGTTCGGGGGCCGGGGTCGGGGTGGGGGTGCTGGCGCCGGTGCCGGGGGTTTTTGGGCATTGCCCGGCCCTACTGCGGGGTGGGTCTGGGGTGGCTCCTTGGGCCTGGGATCCCTGGGGCGCATTGCCCTTGGGCGGGGTCCCCGGTGGGGGTTTGGGGGTTCGGGTTCTGTGGGGAGTGCTGCTTGGGTTCTGGGCCGGTGTACGCCTGGCTGTCTGTCCCTGCTGCCACGGCCTCTGGTGTGCCGGGGTGCCTCGGGGCCTGCTGGGCTGGGGGGGGCATGGACATTAACACCTATGGCAAGTGCTTACCCCCTCACGGGTTTGCACTCTGTAAGTGGGGGAAGGGGAGGGAGGGGGAGTAGGTATGATCTCGGCCTGGATGTCTTCTGTCGCTTGTGTGGTGAGTAGCTTGATTGTTATTGTAGGGGAGGGATTACATCTCCGGAGGGGGGGTGGTGATAGAGGGAAGAAGATCTTTGAAGGGCTTTGGGTCTGGCTCCCTGTCTTGGTCCTGGTCCGTGCTGCCCCCTGGTGGGGCTTCGTCCGGGGTGGGGGCTCTGCGTGTTGCGCGTTGGCTGGCCGGCTGGGATTGTCCCTTCCCTTATTCATTTATTTATTTATTATTATTATTTTTTTTCTTATCTTCCTTTTATATTTTTTTATTTATTTATTTTTTTTTTTATTATTTTTTTTTTTTTATTATTTTTTTTTATTTAATTTATTTATTTATTTATTTTTTTTAATTTTATTTATTTATCTACTTATTTATTTATTTATTTTTTTTATTATTATTATTTTTTTGGATGGACAGGACGGGGGGGGGGTGGTGGAGTCGGCTCCGTGCCCGGCTGGCTGGTGGGTCCTGCTGCCGGTCCCATGCCCCCGGGCTATGGTGGTGAAACTGGTGGGGCCCCCTTCTCTGGGGGGGCTCTCGGGGAACGGGGGTGCCTATTGGAGTCAGCGGGGGAGCTGGCCCCCTGGGAGTGCAGCAGGCACCCCAGTCCTTTGCTCCCCATCCCCGAAATCCTCCCTCTGCCTGCTCCATCACTCGGCCACACATGTAGCCGAGAGCCGCTCATTCCTGGCGGCCTCTCCGCTGGCCCCGGCCGGCCGGGGCTTTGCTGGGGCTCCTGTCTGGGGGTGGGGTGCCCTTGGGGCCTCGGATCCCTGGGGCCTGGGACTGGATCCGCTTCGGGGTGGGGCTGGGTGTTGTTCGGGGATTTTCGGGGTCGGTGCCGGTGCCTTCGCTACGATGCCGGTTCCTGGGCGGTGTTTCTTTCCTATGCCGGTTCTGTGGTATCGGTTCGGGGAGGGGGGGAGCTGCGCGGCATGGTGGGGTGCGGGTCTTGGGTCCTGTTTTGGGCTCCGGTTTTTCCGCTCGCACTTCTCCTCTTGCCTATTTATTTTAATTGTAATTATTAATTAATTTATTTATTTACCTATTTATTTGTTTTTTTTTTTTTTTTGTTTTTTTTTTCCTTTTTTTTTTTCTCTTCCTCGGTGGGGGGGAGCGGTTGCGGGCGGGTCGGTGTCTGGTGTCCGCTGTCGCATTGTGGGGGCCCCTTTTTTTTTTTTTTTTTTTTTTTTCTTCTCTTTTTTTCTTTGGGGGGTTTGGCATGTCTGTTTTCTCGGGGGGCAGGCGGGCCTGCTGGGTGGGGGTCCTGCTGGCGGCGCGCCGCTGGTGTGTGGGGGTCCGGGCGGCTCCGGCGGGGGTAGTGTTGGGGGGCCGGTCTGGGCGGGCTGGCTGCGCTGGCTGGGTATTCGGGTGGGTTTTCCCTCCTGGAGGCATGGCGGGGCTGCTCTGTTCCCACTGATCGCGGCGGGTGGGGCTGCAGGGCGGGTGTGGGCCTGGGGTAGCTATGACCGGCGCGTGGTGGGGGGCCGGGGCGGCGGAGCTGCTCTGGCCGCGTGTCGGGGCCTGGTGCGGGCTGCGGGGGGGGTGGCGGACGTGGCTGGGCTGCTTTGGCATCGTCCGGTGGGGGGGGCGGCGCGGTTCGCTCCGCTCTGGCTTTGTGCTGCCCCTCGGGCTGCTGGGGGGGGTGGTTGCGCCGGCTGCGGTCTGCTCCTCTTGCGGTTTTGCGCCGGGCGGCTTTTCTGCTCTCGGGCTGATTCTGTGCGCGGTGTGTTTCGTTGCGCGCTGTTGGCATTGGTCTTGGTGGGGTGGGGCTGCGCTTTTGGCCGGGGGGGCGTTTTGGGGGGGGTCCCGCGGCGCTCGTGGCCGGTTCGCGGCGGATGCGCATGGGCCCCGGCCGGGGGCGGGGCCGTCTTAGTGTTTTCCTGGGTGGTGCGGTCGCGGTGGGTGTTGCGGCCGGTCGCCGGGGCTTGGTGCGGGGCGTGTTTCGGTGCTCTGTGGGGCTGGGGCGTTTCGGTCGGCGCCGTGGGGGGGCTGGTGTTCGGCGCCCGGCCCTACTTCGGGGTGGCCGGCTGCCGGCGGGGCCCGCGGACTCGTCCCCGCGGCTCCCCGGGGCGCCGGCATGGCGGTGGCTGGGGGGCTTCCTCGTGGCTGTCTCTCCTCCTGCCTTGGTGGGGTCTGATTTCCGGGGCTGGCCCCGCCTTGGTGCCTTCGCTTCTGGGGTCCCCTTGGGCGCCTGGGGCTTTGGGTCTCCCGGCGCTGGACTCAGTGCTCTGGGGGGTGTGCCTCTCCGGCTCTCCACAACCACTATTGAGCATTTTTTTCTATGGTTAAAACTTTACATGCACAAGTTCACCCTCACAAACAACTACAGGTGCTAGGCTTCAGGTACTTAGAGATTCACTTCCAAACAGAAACCCCACATTCATATCTTCAGGTAACACAGAGTACATGTCAGACTTAATAATATTACTTTAGTGATAGTTTCAAGGTGTTTGCTTTATTGTATATCTCGTACCATGTTTTTTGGTTGTGCTGTTCTTTTTTCTTTTTTTTCTTTTTTTTTCTCCATCTCATTACAGGTGTTGAAGCAGACTGAAAATGTTTTGTCATTGTCTCCTTCCTATCTCCTCTTTCTTTCATCTTTTGTCCTGTTTTTTTCTTTTTCTTTTTCCTTCTTCTTCTTCTGTTTTTCTGCTCTACTTACATTGCAGTGTCCATATGAACTGTAAAACTCCCTGCATAATTATAATAAAGCAATTTATATACATGAAACAAGTGGAGCGGTATGGCAATTGCGATACCGCTACACTTGTGAAAGTAAAATCTGTTGGGCTCCTTTTGGCATCAAGACAATTATTCTTATTGCCACCTTGCCAGACAGGACACTGTAAAAAAAAAAAAAAAAAAAAAAAAAAACAGTCATCCAAACACGCTTCAAACCGAGGTTTCTGCACATTTGAAGCTTTAGGATCATAAACAGTGTATATGGTGCCTTTAGGCCCTCCACAGTAACTCCTATTAACTTTTAGTCAAATATTGCTAATGCTAATTAGAGTATACATGTTTTTGTCAGGTTTTGTGGAATATATGGATCCTATTTCCATAACAGAATGACATTTTTAATACAAGTAGTAAATTCTTAAGTAATGTCATCTTTTTCTTTCTAACATGTTTATATATATATATATATATATATATATATATATATATATATATATATATATATATATATATATATATATATATATATATATATATATATATATATAATATTGTCTTTAGGAAAACATGTATATTCCCTTCTGAATGATTGATGTCCCTTTCTAATAGCATTCTTGTTTTAAGACCTGAAAAGTCAAAATAAAAATAAAAAAAACACATTTCTTAATAGATATTTAAACAAATTGGTCCTAAATGGAATATTCTAGAACACTGAGGGTGAGAAAAAAATTGAGAAAAGAAAAATACTGGGTTCGAAAGGTCATTATCCATCTTATTTGGCTGCTTCACTGATGAAATCCTTCCACTTTCTAGAGTAAATCAAGTGATTAAAGTGTACGTTATATAATTTGGATTGGAAATATAGGCAGTTGAAGTTATTTGTTTGGCATTTTAATTATAGCTTAGTTTAAATCTGGATTTGAACTTGTCCAGAATCTGGAAAAAAAATTGTGTTTTAATGATGAGTTTTTTTTAAATGCCTCATCAAATTAGGCTTCTCATAGATAATAATCACTGATAAATGTTCAAATCAATAAAAATAAGAACATATTCTTGATTTTTCCACATGGTGCAGGAAATGTGAATTAATTATGGACTTTTCAAGTAATTCCAGGAAAAGATTTCACCTGTGATGTTTGTTTATAAAACACCCCTAAAGAGCAGATAAAAAGCCCATTACAGCTCACGTCACACTAACAGGACTGGGCTCATTGCAAGTCATCCCCTATTATACTGTCAGCAGCAATTAGCCCAAAGCGGACAACAAACCTTCAAGTAAAGCCACGATTTTGTTAAATAGATAGCCTAATGATTACTGACAATCCAAGATTTCAGGAGTGCTGCTATTGTTGCAAATGCAAGCCAAACGGGGGCTCTGCATCAGGGCCTCCTTGAGCAAATGGGCCAGCATAGCTGTGGTCCCTCTAATGACTGTGACATTTTGTGTATCGATCAGCTTGAGTGGAAAGCCAAATCAATACAGACAAATACTGATACCAGAGGCCCTGATAGGTAGACAACACCTCCTTAAAGTCACGTACAGACTTAGATGTAGATTGCGGGCAGAGAGAAATATACAAGCCACAGAGATCAATGCATTGACGGTGAAACTCCGAACCTTTGATATTTTTAAAATGGTAACTTTTGAATCTGTGAAATTACTTTCAAAGGGCATCTGAGGTGATTTTCATTGGTTTCATTTACTATATATAGTGCCTTTTAAGGGTATTCACAGTTTTGAATGTGAAAAAAGGAAGAGTACAAGCCTGAATAATACAGTAGTGGGTTGATCCATGAGATACTTAAATCTTGAAAAGAGGCCTTCCCTGATTACTCCCTGCCTACTGTGTCCTTTGGACTTCATGACGTTCTTTGACCCCTAACATTCTTCAACAGCCCTCTGAGGCCTAATATGCGGACTCCATTTGGCAACTAACAGAGGAGTATAAGAGTAAACAGGATTTGCCTTTGTTTTACACCAGGCATGCCCACAGTTGGTCCTCGATGGCCACTGTCCTGCAGGTTTTAGAGGTTTCCCTGCTTCAGCACAGCTGATTCTGGATCAGTTTGGGGTTCAAATGTTACAAAAGAAAAGTGAAAGAAGCTTACATTTGCAAAGCGTTATTTAAATGAATGGGGAACTCATATCCATATTATTTTTCTCAGTTAAAAGAACCTGTAACTTACCTTTGACAATAACCTGTGCTGTGGCGTCAATCACGCCCAAAGAAGACATGGCCACGCATGTGTAGTTGGCTGACTCTCGGATATTGGTAACCTCCAGCACGTTGCGGCCCAGTGGCAACTCCTCCTCCTTGGTCAGCTCCAACTGACCCATGGTCCACTTAACAAAGGGCATGGGTGAGCCAACCGCCACGCATGTCAGGTTGACACTGCCACCTGGCATCACCTCTTGGTTGGTGGGTGGAATAGAGAATCTAGGAGGAACTCTTCGCACTGAGAGGAGGAAGAAAAGGAGAAAAGGAAGTGAGTGTAAGGGTATGCAAGGTGAATACAATCCTTCCTTGTGTGAGCTCATGAATGTTCTTTCCTCATGCCACATCACAAAGGATTAAAAAAAAAACTATCTCAGAGAGGCTGAAAGAAAGGAGGAGCTGATCGCTTTTGTCCAAATGTGCAGGCAAGCACAAAGGGAATAAAGGGATTGTCACAAAATGGCTCTGGATATAACCAAGAAATCTTTCAGGGCGTGTTTTTCTTTTATCTTTTTCTCTACCCCCTTTCCCACAAAAAGAGAATATTACCAAAATAGTCCAGTTTTGCAGAAGACTATGTCCGGACCTCTTTTGTCAAGGTGTCAAAAGTAGTGAGAGTTGCATCATTGAGGGACCCTGTGGAGATGCTATTGTTTGATTCCTCCTCCCTCTCTCTCTTTCTGTCTCTCTCTCTTTCTCTTTCTCTCTGGCTCCTTCAGCTCTTTTCCTCTGTCGTTTTCTCACTCTTTGAGGAGTTCTGATATGCAGATAGGCTGACATTAAATAGAGGTTCCCATGGATACAAGAAGGGACCGTTGACGTCGCCTGGGACAAGGCAAACACCAATTCAGAGGGTTCACGGCATTCTGAAAAGCTAGTTCAGTCTAAACGGGCAGCCCCCATTAACATATGACTTTCTGTCCCCATGAGAATGCATACCAAGCGTCTCCCATATTTAAACATTTTACATATCTTTCTGGGAACTTTTGGTAAGAAAGTTATTCATGTGACACTGTGGAGGAAAAAGAAACTGTCAACACTGTGTGAACATCTATTAGTGTCACACCTGTTCAATTTATGACATGTTCCTGTAGTGTGCACTCAGTCTAAGAGTTAGAGGCACTAACTTTTCTAACCCTCCACTATGAGGAAAGTGAAGCTTCGCCAAACATTTAAATTCCCGCTGAGAACCTATTATTCCTATTCTACTTCTGCTGTTCAAGACACTAACAGCAAAATAAAACCAAAATACTCTCCCTGCAGAATTCACACTGCTTGTCTCCCCTATAACACGAAAGCATATCTCTGTCTCAGAAAAAAAGCTCTTGACTGTAATTGCTCTTATGCTCAGGTCTACATGAAAATGGATTTTCAAATATGGCTCCCCCTCCAGCTTCTCCCCCACACCGGCGAAACCCTTCACTCCCCCCCTACCGGATCTAATTTGAACCGGAACGTTGTTACAGCCGTGCTTGTTATTCCCCTCATTATGTGGTGAAATGGAAAAACACAAAAGCACCTTTTGAGATTCCAGTCAGGGAAAAGGGCTGGTTCTCTGGACCGCGCCGTAATAAGTGGGGGGGTGGAAACCAGGTTCACATTCATCTGAATTTTCCCATAATAATTGAGCTTCTGCGTGCAGACTTTCTGCTGTTTTAATCAACAGATTCATTTGGGATGAAACTACTTGGCTCTGTATCAAAAAATAATTAATATTCCAAGACTGAGCCATGGAACAGTTTGGCTGTTTGGCTTTGTGAGTTTCTGTCACAGATTTTCTAACAGTAGCAGCTAAAGCTGATTTTCTCCATCTAACGACTGGATAGTTCTGCTACTAGAGAGGACACAGGACAAGGATGTTAGTCTGAACTGGAGCACGCGTGGGAGCCAGAGGGAGGTTTAGGACAGAACTAGGGACCCAGTGAAAAAACGCCTGGCTGAGTTTCAGCTTGCTCAGCCCTGACAGGTGATTGCCGGTTGGTAAAACACAAAAATCCTATCTTGTTCCAATCAGTAAACGCACGACACCCAGGCTACAACCAGGCTGCAGTAACAGCAACACCCTTTGGTGTTGATGCTGTTTATAATCTCTATCAGTTTGACAACTAAGGCACTTTTCTTGAGCGCTTTAAAATTCCTGTTGAAAGCCACGCGTGTCTTAACAGTCCCTGTTTCTTTTTTAAGTGCTGCTAATTCTCAGAACAAGCAGGGGTATGTAGGCCAAATATAAAACTATACATCCATTAAGCTCAAAGTAGCAGTTATTCTGTTGTGATTCCATAGACTTAAGAGTACTATGAGCAGTCAGTCAATGGGGGCTAGTGTATATTGAACACTTAATGTTGTGAATAATTCATGGCGCACGGTTAAGTTTGGAGAGGTGCTGTGGAACAAAATGACTAGAGGGCAGGTAATTGTTATCGATTCCCCTGGAGCCTCTCTCCTGTCGAAAGAGGATTGTAGAGATGGGCTCCGGGACTCTATCGAAACCACAAAATAAGCCCTGTCTCCCTCTGACTGCTTGCTTGCTTGGGTACCTATAAATTTAACTGCCCTGACAAAGTGCCCAAGGATAGCAGAACCTGTTCAGTCAATCAATATCTGGCACAAACTGGCACGGAGTCAGCAGGCTCCAAGTCTTCCTGGCAGCAGCGTCTCTGGGCAGCAATGATGGCGGATCATTCCCTTGTCAGCACCCTGGATGCACATTCTTAAATATTCTACAAGTCAGCCGTTTGTGAGGCAGAGATGTGCAAATGGTACACAAGGAGAACTATTTTAAGATCCACCTCTGCCCTGAATAAAGTGAATGGTACTGTTCGCACAGCTAAGTTCAATTTGTTGCAAGATAAAAGAAATGGCATAAAATTGCCTGTAATTAGAGATGCAAAAAGAACCTGTGGCACTAGATCTCACAAGCTTAAAATCCCCTATGATGTCTTGTCAAAGAGAAGTCTATTAATGTGAATTTCTTGGGTCAAATGATTTGGAGAGTAAGATATTATATCCACCAGGTTTAAAGATTTTGAGGCCAGGAAGTAGTTATTGACTTGCCTTGCCTTATTGACAGAGTTGAGTCAACTCTTCTCTTTTTAAATTATTTATCTAGTAGCATTTTGGAAGCTCAGCTGAAAAAAGAGAGACACCGACAGATAAGATACAAGCAATTTGTCAGCACCATTAAAACCATGCAAACAGTAAACCGGTAGCTAACAAGGTTAAAGTTTTCATTTGCAATTCATTTTAGCTCTTTGTAAGCCTTTAGTTAAAGTTTAAAATACTTTGACTTAATTTTGATTAACAGTATTATTCTACACTGTACACAGCTTTTGGAACATAGAAACAAGCATTTTTTAATCTTTTCGCCTGTTACATTGTGGATCACAAGTCTTAAAATCCCCTATAAATAGCGCCTATAAGGACTCTATTGTAACAAAATGTCTTGAAACTGTGTTAAATAAGGAAGTTAGGCCCTCTGAAGGCAGCTGCGCCTCGGAACTTCCCTTCCAGTTCTTTTCCTGGAAGCAAGTTATTTACTACTCTTAACTCAAACTGGGTAAAACCATATAAAAAAGGACTATAAAACAGGAGTAAAAAAGTAACAGAGTTTATTCCAGGTCAAATAATTTTAAACCATCCAGGTTATATCATTGTGGGCACCGTGAGAATATTGTAACCAGCTAACTGTTATCCTTTAACCATGCTGACTGCTTTAGAACTTCCTGTGAAAATACAGTCAGACTAAAGACCTGTGCTTCAGTTTTTTAAGTGTTTCAAGGACAAACCCTTTGATATTTTGACTCATCTATGCTAAACTGGAGAACCCTAAAATGACCTTATAATGGGGTAACCATGTTGTGTTGCATGGCAACGGTAAACAGACATAAATTGGCATGTATGGTACTATATGCAGGAGACTCATTGTGCTAATTGTACTGCAATTAGTTTTTTATAACATACCAAACTTCATGTGCCTTTTATTATATCAATGAAAAGGGTAATTTACTGTACATATTGTGTAAGGATGCGCTTAATCAGCTAGAGTTTCTTTAAATCTCATTAAAATTCTTTAAAAACTGGCCTTTTTTATTTTTCCCTTAACATATTGCTTTAATTATTTCTAGTCGCATTGAACAGAATCTCATAAGCTGGATGTACCACTACACCTGTACCAGGAAATCACAATTCAACTGGACAATGTTTTAGTCTTTCATTAGTCAAAAATGTGACCATGACATCCTTCAGTCTCCTGGAGAAAGCCGGTAAAACAGACATAATCCCCCGAGAAAGACTTTGTCAGCTCCAACACCCATGTCCCTCAGTGGGAGAGCCGGGGTGTTGCTGCCTAAATACCTGACAAATCCGGTTGCCACCTGAATACCCAAGTAATCCATCACACACCTCTGATGGCCGTACACAGGCGGATGGAAAGTCTGACACTGAAAGCTGCTGTAGCTGTTGGTGGATGCAGTTAACAGGACAACATGGGTGCAGTGAGGAAGAATGCTAATACAACAGAGATCTAATAATGACTTAAGCTAACTGCTTGGGGACTCCTTTATATGTTTTGGAAAGACTAATTGAAACAGTCAGGAGGAGTGGCAGTGGAAAGCATGCAAGAGCTGTTGAGGGATCAATGCAAATACGTAGACAACAATACACAATTACACTGTGGAGGATTAGGGAGAGCTATTAATAATGTATTCATCTCTGGGGGAAAGGGATATCTGTGTTTTCACCACAGGAGGTAGGTAGGGGTGGGAGGAGGGAGGGATGGTTGGATGGTGGGAGGGAGTGGACGTTTCTCTAAATTAGAGGGAAGGGACATAAAGTGAAAATGACCAACCTTCACGTGGTTCTGTTTGCAGGTGAAGTGATTTGATGAAGGTGACCAATGGAATGAGACGGACAGTGAAGAGGAGGACACAGTAAAACAGGTGTTTATGAAGACAGGGAAGCTTAGTGACACAGAAACAAAGCAAAGAAACAGAGTGTTGCAAGAGAAAGGGGTCTTGCAAACTTTTTAAACTTTTCAAGTTTTTTTCATGTCACCACAAACACAATTCCATTCATTTGTGGCAAGCTCACAAAATAGTGCATGATTGTGAAGTGAAAGAAAAGGGATAACCAATTTTTTTTTGTTAGAAAAATGAAATAAAAAAAGTATAAAGTACTTTTTTTTTATTTTGCGCCCCCTTACTAACACCCCTAAACAAATCCAGAGCAAAAAAATTCTATTTCATTCATCTTCCATTTCGGAAATATGCACTATTTTGTCGAGGTCTATTGGTTAGAATCCCAACAAAACCCATAGATGTATGTGGCTTTAACTTCACAAAATGGGAACAATTTGAAAGGATAAACATGTAATGGTAAGGATGCAATTAGCATCAAGGAGAGAAACCAAATCTTTATTTTTAACCCTTTACGTAAGAGATAAAGCCTGTTCTTTGAACAAGCATTGTGTCATACATATTTCATGATGAACCTTTGCTTAAAAACAGAATTTCTCCCTCCAATAAATCTGACCCAAACTAATCATATTCCAAGTTTCCTTCCTTGACACACACACACTCACACATGAAACAGCATGGGGATATTTGCTGAAGAAAAAACCCAGCTGCAGCACTTTATCCTCAGTGACATATTGACATGTCACATGGATATATGAAAGAGTGCCAGCAGACAGAAGCTGACATCCCTCCTCCGTTGTGGGATAAACGCTTGACAAATGAGCGCTCAAGCACGATCACAGCACGCTGTGCGCCTCGGTCCATGTTGATGGAGTCGTCCTTTTTTAGAGGAGGGTCACAGAGAGGGACCCACAGCTGCACACCTTCAAACATGGTCACAGTCCTTAATATGGATAATGAGGGAAAGGACATACTGTAAATTGATACAAAGACATAGGGAAAAACAATCCGTGAGCAGTCACTTCATCCTCCCCCCTCCTCCAACACGCTAATATGAGGACATTACTCTCAGGTGGCTCTAAAATGTCAAGACAAGGGTGGTGTTGGTGGTGCAGGCGGAGTGTTTGTGTACCTGCAGAAAGGAATCAGATCAGGTGGTGACAGAGAGCGGAAGAAAAAAAAAAAACAGATGTGTGTTTGTGTGGTTCAGGTCCTCCTGCTGTTCTTGATTACAACTAGGCACCTTAAAAAAAAGACCAAACTATTGTTTCACAATGGCAAACTTGGATTAAACCAATTGCTCGATTCATGTAATTTACAAACAAATTAAAATGTTAATGCAAAATACCTAATTTGTGAATTTATTTGTTTTATGATTATTAAATCAGTCGCATCGCTTTTAAGCAGTAAAATGATGTAGTAAAGTAATGGGTTATGGTTACCTGACAAAAGCAGCAATTATAGTCTTTGAGATTTTATATTTTATCTTACAAGTAAAACCAACCCAAAATACAAAGCTGTTGGCTGATTGGAGCCAATTTCCAGGCTCTCAACTCTTCCTTGGAGGCTCTACGATGAACACTTAATTAAAGACCATGTAAAGTAGAATTAAATGTGAGTTCTCAGTTTGTCACACTACAAAAACAGGTTTTATTAATTCCTCATCGAATTTGAAAGATTAAACCTGAAGCATTCAACTAAGCATATAAAATTAGGTCTTAAATTACTAAGATACACTGGGGGCATGTCCACTATGGCATCTGAAACATTGCTCACACGCTATTTCAATTCACTGGAAAGGTTTTAAAGAAAAAAAATACACTTAAAAAAAATTATATTTAAATTTTAATTCATGTAGCTTCATTTAGTTAGCTCACTAACTGTTCGCTGAAGATGGTAAAGTCAGAGCAATCATTGTTTTCACATTATCACGATCAAGTCTCAAACAAGATAGGAAAAACTTTTTAGTTTTGTCACTAGTAGTTTTTTTTTTTTTTACTTCCTAGAAGTGTCTGACAAGGAGCTAATACATAGTCGGCTGTTCGTTTTTATATGTTGAAGGAAACCACATGACAGTATGATGCCACATTTTAAGACACACCCAAAAAAATCCTGAAGCACAGACATTTTTAACTCTAGTGCCACAGCGCAATCATGAAAGGTTGAGAGACTTTTTACACGAGTAGAAGAAAAATATTTATGACATTTATAATGTTTAGAAGAAAATGAGGGAATTCTCTTTACACAGTCTTTAATATGAGATTATGAAAAATTATGGTGGTAGAAGCATCAAAATGTAAGTATCTGTTTGTAAACCCGTCCATAAAAGAACAAAGATTTTGAGCCGCATGGAAACTGCTCCATGTGGCATAAAACCATCACTGCACTTCACCCTAGATATGCTATTTATAGCATAAAATACAGCGGTGGCAGCATCATACACAGGGGGTACTTTTCTTAGGTAGAGAAAGAATAGATGGACCAAGTTCTATTAGTGACAAAAAAAACCTGCGAGAGACATCAACACACTCCAAGAAGTTTTGAAATGGTGAAAGAATCCAGTGAAAGACTTCAAGCTGAAACATCTTGTTGTCCTGCCTCTATAGAAGAAAAGCCTCCCTACTGTATGATGCTGCCACAACCATGCTTTACACAGGGCATGTTGTGTTCAGGGTAAAGCTAGTAAAGAAACACAATGTAGACTCCATTTATCAATTAAATTAAAGGGAAATAACTGCAAAATGTGAGAAAGTTTCTAAAACTTGTAAAACACCTTTGGTTCAAACAACAAAGACACACACACAAAAAAAAAAACACCTTAAAGAGTGTGGTTTTATGTACTATAGCTAAATCCGAAAACCTTTAAAAAAAGCTTTAAAAACGCCCCCCTCCTCCAAAAAAAAAAAACAGGAGAGGAAGACAGGCGTGTCAGAGGCCATTTGTTTTAGATCACTCATGTTTTAAACCCAATCTAGCAGCAGAGGGAGTGCGCTGCCTCGGGTCTCTTCTCCCCCACTCCTGCACAGGTAACAAAGACGGAGTGAAAACATGGCTGAAGCCTTTGTTCTCCATTCCAGTCGAGAACAAGTCTAAAAGGTTACGGTTGGTTTGATTTCTATCTCCCCTCTGGTGTGGTGAGGCAGGCAGAAAAAAACGGTGGGTGTTAGGGCCAGTAGGTTGACAGCTACCTGGGTGTTGTTAGGAGCAGAAGGGCCCCCAAGTCCTGCTGGCGCCACACCACACAACTACTGTAATTACCTGTGGTGGGGTAGGGGGTGGGGGTTCTGCACCTGTGACAGACATGTACTGATTAATAGCCAAGACTTTCCTTCCTTTCCTTTGCTATGGCTGACTACCTTCTACTTCTGTTTACATAAAAGCTCTGAACTTTTTAGTGATGTTTCATCTGCAGATGTGATCCCTTGATGACCTTAGATCTTAGATTCAGAGGAAAAGTTTTATGTGTCTGCCCATCAGAGAAAATAGGAGAAACAAAATTATGTTTTTCTTTTTCTGTGGTATATGGGACACAGCAAACGGTAATTTACTTCATCTTGATAACAGAAAAAAGACACAAAAGACTTACTCATCCATTAAAAAGGCTGCACGCTCATGTACTGTACACTTTTAACAAAATTATAAAATGATAGCCGAGCGTGTCCCTTTTTTTACCGTGACACTTTCACACACTAACAACTGGAGCCGTTATTGTGTTTCTTGTAGGCTACATCAGCCATGCTGGTGTTATCCACAGGGGCTGACCTCCACTACTCACTCCCCCTATAGCAGCTTTTTCCCACATGGGCACAATCCTGCACATGCATTAGTCTGCTCACGGAGACGTTACAGCATAAACAAACTCTGGAAACCCAAGACTCCCTTCCTCGTCTTTAGAAGCTCCGGGTTTGAGCTGAGGGGAATAATGGCCCCTTTCGATACAGTTGATAAAAAAAAAAGAAAGGAGGCCCTGCGTCAGTGCCAGCGGAGGAAACGATTTCAATGCAGCTGTTTTCTCTGGGGCTGCACCTGGTTGAGTTTGCAGCCAAACTGGAGGCTGAGGTTAGTTGAGTTCATTGAAATAGAAGAAATTACGAAAGTGTGGTAAAGACAGACACAAATGCAGAAATGGACGTAAGAAAGGGAGGGAATGTTGGACGCTGCAGCACAGTGAAAGGAAATCCAAGTGTTTCCCACAGGATACAATGCAGATTAAAAGAAATACATAAGAGCTCTGAGAAAAAATGCATTTGTCCTCATTTCAGTTTTTCTTGTCCGATTCATTTTTTGTCTTTCTTAAATGTTTCGGATTTCACAATTTAATTTGCCTAGGAAAACCCAAAAATCATCTTTTAAAAAATCTATTAAAAGCCAACTGGTTCTATCAGACAAGCTACTCTCCCTAAAACCCTTTTATACCATGGTCTGGGTAAATACCCCCATCAGTATTGGGTGTCTATCAAAAATTGGGGTAGTCCACCTATAAGAACATTTGGTCAAATAACTTGATTGTTACAAATTATTGACCTGGCTCAAACACTAGTTGGTAACATCAAGGCAGTAGTCAATAAACGCTGTAGCCGACTGTAATGCAGGTTTATGGCTATCTTTTGAGCAAATGATTGTTAACTCATTGGCAGGAGTTTTCCTTCAGGAGTTTTAGACAGAAATAAATAACTTATAGTAACATAAATTAAGGCACTTTATCTGGGTCTCAAAAGAGCAAAGAATTCTACAAACCTTCATTTTTCTAAAGATTTTATCAGCTTTTTGTAAACCTCCTGGATGAGCCATCATTTGATTTTGGGAGTCATTTTAGAGGACTGGACATTCCTGGTAAGGTTTGCCACTGTTCTATGTTTTCTCTGTGAATATTCACAGTCCTAAAGCCGAGAAAATGGCTTTGTAATCATTTCTTGACAGACAAATGTCATATTTTCTGAGATATTTTTATTCCTGAAATACTTACTTTATGTTGTCATAGATTCAAAGTAATCTACTCATTCCAAAAGTTGGCAATGATTTGTTTCATTTGCATATATCCTAGTTATCTGTGTATGATATTCCATTTTTTTTTTTAGAAATGTAACAATTATGTTTAACAAAAATAAAAGACAAGCTGGGATTTTTTTTTTTTACTTCTAATTATTTGATCAAGCAGAAAATCCATTAATAAAAAAATCTGAAGGGTTGGAAACATGCATATTTACCTCTGACGTAGAGATTGGCAGGTGCAGAGTACCGGGTCCCGGCGCTGTTCATGGCTACACATTCATATTTCCCCTGGTCCGACATCTCGCTGTTCTCAATTTGCAGAGCTCCTACACAGAGGATTAACAAGTTTAGCCTTCTGGACAGATGGCAGAACCAATGCACATATTTAAATATTTGTATTCAATAGACAGCCCAAGGTCATTTAGACTGACCTAGTTCACACTCAGACATGATGGACAGGGTTTTACAAGAATGCAACACAAACAAGTAGAGTTTAGTCAAAGCAGTTTATTGAATATTTTTGCCTAGTCGTGTTAAAAATGAAATCAGAGCGTGTCTGAGGGTTGGTTTAAATGTGTCAAAACCATCACTGCCTGAGCAGCTCTTTATGTCATGGACTTACTGTGAATGTCCCTCCACATTCATTGGCACCAGTGGAAAAAGCATGTAAAAAGCTTTAAAATATACCCCTTGCATTTGGTCAACACCAACAACTTGCAATGAAAGGGTAAAATTAAATCAACAAAGCTTAAGGTTTGATAACTACAGCATTTTTTTCTCAGAGTGAAATCATGTTACCTCTATATAATATACAGATTTTCACATGGGTGCCAATAATTGTGGCAGTTGCTGTATGTGACAATCTGATCGGTGCCAAGAAGTATTAAGCTAGAAGATATGGACAAGCAGCTTAAGAATGGCAAATGAAAACCTGAATGTGATGTAGCTGTCTTTTGAGCAGATTAGTAGTACTTTAAACCTGAAGAGGAACTTCCCATCTTTAAAGTATGCTGATTCTTAACAACCTGTCCAAGAAAGTAATCACATCTCCCTTAGGGAGTGCAGCGCAGTGACTACTACACTTCAGATGGCACCCTGCTGTTAAACCAATGCTTAATGTGGGTTTGTCAAAACTACTGAAATGTTCAAAGGCCTGTTCAACACATTGTTTAAATGTGAGAAGATAGTGGTGAAAAAATCTTCCAGCAAGACTGTGGTAAGAATATATACTAAAGATTACCAGAATGAAACATGGAAGGATTGGCAAGAATCCTGGCAAGCATCTTTTTATTTGTTAGAAACTAGAAAAACTTGAACAATAAAGCTTGGGATCATCACAAAAGGGGAAATAACTGCAGGTCAAGTCAATATGGACTTCTCTTTACTCCATGTCATTCCACATCAGAATACTGGTGGGTGAGATGGTGCAAAAGGCAGCACTTTCTTAACCCCAGGTTCCACATACCCCGTCAGTGCTCCGCCCCGCTCACGAACGTTGTGTGGAGAACTTATCGGTCATGTTAATAAATGAGAACTGTTACACATCCGCCATTACTCCTCCGCACATCATCACGTACGTCTTCTTCGTCTGTCACTGTGAAAATACAGCTATTTTGGCCAGGTCAAGATCCGCAATTGCACTCGCACCAAACAGGTAAAAGAATGTCGATAAGATACGTTTTTTCCCTGTTTGGTGCGAGTGCACCAATTTGTTGTTAGTGACAGATTGCTAACAAGAAATTAAGAGTATAATTCTTATATATTCCCCAAAACTAAGAGCGTATAATTAAATTAATGGAAGCAAACTATTGGTACTTGAATATACCAGGAAGCAGATTTTTCATCTCGATCAAAATATTTTTTTTTATACCACGAAGTTTATAACTTTAATTAAATTCAGTCAAAACTTCCAAGAACACATCTAACGACTTCAAAACAAACTTCTTATTGCAGAAATGGATGAAGACATGCTGATTTTGGTAGTAGAGGACAAACATAATTCATACAAACCAATTTTGTATCCCATAAAATGAACCAAAAAAGATAATATTTGGGTGGAAACTGCACATATGCTGATGGGGATTTTTTTTCCAACATGTCATATTAAATGAATGGTTTATTTCCACATGTTTTTCTCCTATGAATTTAATAGTAAAATCGCAAGTGAGGGAGTCGGAGCGGAGCAAGACAGGAGGGCAGCAGAGGCTGTAGGCTTTGTTTTGCGCAGGCGGTCAGGAGTGCAGCGGAGTGGTGCAGAGCGGGGCGGTTGAGGAGGATGTGGGATTTTGGTGTTACATGGACAGTCACCAAGCAGTTCAGACCTCAATACCATTGGAAGTCTTCAGCATGTTAACGAGGACACCTAATGCAGTTCTTCAAATCTCCCATCATAGAAACATGAATTTAGCAAAAAATTGATGCTACTTTACTAGAAGTAAACAGGATTCCACTAGGGCTGCAACTAACGATTATTAATCTGTCAATTTTTTTTTCCTTTAATCGATTAATAATTATGTAGGAAAAGGTTTCTTAAAGAAGACTTTTTACAAAATTAAACCAGGTGAAACTCATGAGGAGTTCTCGATAAAGCATATTGACAGATTAAATGTTTTTAATCTTAAATGCAAAATGTTATATATATTTTTTTACAAACAAAAAAACTTGTCATAATTACTACTGTTAGTGGGTTGATCTGTTAACTAAAGAATAGTTTTAGATTCTTAATACTCCAGTTAATGATTAATCAATTACTAAATTAGTTGACTATTGTTTCAATAGATTCCACAGTTTTCTGGACCACAATATCCAGGATTATTAGGAATCTTCAAGTTAATTATAGTATGTGGTAGTTTTATGGTAGTTAGGAGGAATCGACTCTGGAAGATATTTCAATAGTGACCAGGCTTTGAATATGGAACCTTCAAAAATCACAGACCGGATGGATGGATGGATGGATGGATGGATGGATGGATGGATGGATGGATGGATGGATGGATGGATGGATGGATGGATGAGGAATGAATGGATGGATACATTAATGGCTGGATGGATAGATTCATGAATGGATGGATGGATAGATGGATGAATGGATGAATGAGGGATGAATGGATGGATGGATGATGCAACCTTTCTAAATGTGCAGAAGACTAAATAAACTACATAAACTGTGATGAAACAACTGGATGTGTAGCCCACAATGAGAAAATGATTGACAAAGGGAGGATCTCCTCTGCCAGGTGGATTTGATTTGTATTCACAAATCCAAGTTGTTGGAGGCATCTGAATGAAAGCCAACATGTTTCAAAATGTAAAAGAACCCACAGACCTGTATAAGGGTGGGTTTTTCCTGACTCCTGATCCACACCCAAATAACTTAGAACTGTTATTGACTTGCAAATGGAGGACGGACGAAACAAGTTACTTGTAAAATTAGGAAAAGCAGCAGTGAACTTACCTGCACCAAAAAAAATTAATATAACAATAAAAAGAAATTAATAGAAAGACAGAAAAAGCAAGTTCTCTGAACAGATTATATGTAGTTAGGTGATAAAAGGGATTGAATCTCCAAAGCAGCATGGCGCTACCACAAAAGGCGGCGTACCACCATGCAGTTTGTAAAATGACAACAGAATACAATGCATCTTTTACATCATGCATTATGAGATGAATGTAACAAACTGGTTCACCAACCATAGGAGTTTCATTGCAAGACAACACCAAGACAACAGAAGTGAAACAGGGGCGGGGCAGTGACATGTTGGGTATACGACTTTAGATCTCATGACAACACATCCCTCCAAGGTGTTTGTTCGGATTGCTGAGCTCATCGGCGTCTGGTTCAGCACTGATGTGAACCTGCATACTAATGTCAGTGTCACCAATCTGTCAATCTGCCTGCCTTCCTGTAGGAGGAGGTAGTTTGAGCCAGAAATAAAAAAGATACTAATATTATAGATGTTTTTGCTTCACATTGCAACCTAATGGTAATAAACTGCTTCTAATCACATGTATATTTGTAGATCCAAATTCTACCTATAAGACATCAGCTGTTTAAAAGGTAATCATAAAGACAGGATTGGATTTTTTGAAGTCGTATCCAGCATCTCACAGATATAACACCTTCACTATGGTGTTTTTGACTGGAATCATGCAAAGAAAGCCAAAATTCATCACTTTGTCACATGATCCCTTTCTATAAGGGTAGCCCCATGTAGGTATGCAGTCTCTCTAGCACCCCATTTAGTCTGCAGTAATGAGGCAAGTAGTTTTTCATTGGAAGTTTGTGGCTTTGATTTTATCTCCTTTCTCATTCTGCTCTAAAACCAGGAAATATATGGGATGTTATACAGCCCCATTTTGTCATGTTATTTCATTGGGATTTAATCTGATTTACTAACACAAAGTATCACATACTTCTGAGTTGCGAAGATGACTATGCATCTTTGCAAAAAGTGTACAAACTAATAGCTTTAAAACATTCTCTTGCAACCATAAATCGAACATAACCAAATTAAGTCAAAAGTATTCCCATTTCTGACTAGTAAAAATGTTTTCTTTAACTAGTCTTCTCGATGTGTTGCCCTGTATTTAGCTACACCTTCCCGGTTTTTACTAAATAAGCCACATATCATCATACTGCCACTACCATGTTTCACCAGAATTTTAGCTTTGGACCACAATTGGTTCTGATGTAGGTTGTTGACATAGCTTGGATGGTGACTTTCTTTTAAACAATGTAATTCTTTTTGCCACTCTAGTCATAATGTATAAATTGATGGATAATAGTTTTCCTGTTTATTTAAGTATCATTAATTCAAGGCAGAGTAAAAAGAGGGGCCTAAATATAAATTAATTCCATACTTTTCCGATCCTGAGATAAAATTAACTTCTTTACAAATAGGTACCACTTTTTGTGGTTTATTTGCAATAAAATATAATCAAAATATACTTACGCTGGAGGCTAAAATGTTTGAAAATAAAAAATAAGAGCCAAGGTCAGTAAAAACTTTTGTAAGGCACTGTACTTGCTACCTTATTAAAGTGGTGCAGACTTCCCAAACTCGTTGCACAGTGCTTTGGTGCACTTTCCTTCACAAAACCAGGTTGGTGCTAATTTGTTTTCGAGGAATCCGACAGCAGACAGAACATATTTGGGGGGAAGGTTGGGCACGCAGCAGAAAGTAGAAACAGAGCGGGCTGTTTCTGCGACAGTGAGGGTGAACCTTGCGATGTGGCAATGAGAGGGGGAATATAATGTGGGCAGATGTGGGAGTGAGGGTATGGCGTGAACGGTATATTTTCCAATACACTATTCATCATTCTTACCTCTAATTGGTGTACCACCTAGGTGGGAGTAATTTAGATGAAAACAGGGTTGAAAGATTAGTTAGTAATCCACTTACAACAGTGGGAGAAAAAAAAACATGTCTTTTTGAAAAGCAACAGATAGAAAATAAATAATAGAGTAAAGGCCACCTAAATGTGATTTAATAAAATTTTGCAAACTTCATCGATCCTACAAAATAAAGCAAGCCATATTGGATTGTACAATTTTTTCTTGTGACAGAAAACAGCAGATCCACTGAGAAGGATCCTTTTTGTCAGCAGAACCCCTTGAAATATAATATTCCCCTATTCTGCTTTAGCACATAACAACCCAGGGCACACGTACTCCTACTTCACAGCAGCTATAATTTCATACAAAAATTTCAATTAAGCTTTCTAATTGAAGATGGCCTTCACTCTCTCTTGCTGTTAGTAAAAAGGACATGGGTAATTACTGAAAGAGGACAAGTAAATAGGCTGATGGACAAGAAGAGGAACTCATGTCAGACGTTCCAACTTAAAAAGAGTTAGTATCTCTGGAGCATAGGATCAATCAGGCACTTTTTATAATGAAAAAAAAAAGCAAGTGCTAAAATACTATAAATAAAAACTCAAGGGTGCCTGTTCTGTTCAGCTCTGGCAACAAATTAGCGTGCTTCTTTTCTGCCATTGCAGAATTGGCCTCATTTCGTGTCATATCCACTAATGTAAATCCTGATGCAGCAGCAGATGTCAGGAAAACGGTGGTGGATAAAAAAGAAATGTTAGTCTGAGGGCATTGCATATCAGCACATTTTCAGGCACTCCAAATGTATGTGGGAAAGAAAACTAATTAAAAGTTGTTGCTGGAAGTGAAAAGAAAAAAAATATATATCTTTTTCTTTTTTTTGCATAATTTTACCCATACACGAAAAAATATCAAACAATTAAGTAGCTGAGTTAGAATGCAGTTTGTACTACATAATAATTTTGCAATGACAATAATGTGGATTGTGGTCAAAGTTGCAGCTCTTCCTCTTAATGGGTAAAATCACAGTTTAGTCAGAAAATTTTAACAATCTTAACATGAAAACGTGGCATTTCCTATTGTTTCTCAAAGCAGATACAATGAGAAGTTTTAAAACATTTAGGAAAAACAACAAGGGAATACCATGTAAGGATAATGACAAAATAATAAGCAATCAAACCCCTTTGCACTTTTGCATCGTTCATGCTTCTGCTAAAACAGATAGGCAGTCAGCAGCCAGACCATCAAGGAGACAGCATGTGTTGTAATAAGGTTAAACATCTTTCTTCACTATTTCAATGTGGTTTTACATTTAATTTGTCCTCTGTCAAAATGAAATGGCTGCTAATGTCGGCGGACCACATTAAACGGCTCTCCTTCGTATTTTTAGTCCCAGTAATTATCTTCAGCTGTGCAGTGTTAACATGAACTGACCTAATAGAGCACGATGAGATGTTGCTTGCAGAGAGCAAAGATTAGGAGCCTGGCAGATGGCATCCTCAGAATAATGTATTGAGAGATTCACTATTGAATTGTAATTAAACCTTTCCAATAAAAAAACTAAATAAACAACAAAACAAAAGTAATTTATGAGGAGAAAAGTGAGAGGTGCACAAAGTGCATTGCTCATTATTAGAAAGCATGGCTCACTATTAGAAAGCATTCTTCTCTGACACATCAGAGAAGAATGCTAGTAATGATCAGTAAACCTGAATGATATCAGGATATTAGTCTCTTATGAGAATCTTTCTCAACAGCAGTCATTTCCATGTGCACAATGGTGCATGTAAACTGGGCTCACCACAGAGCTCCTAAACTCCTCCATAGTGTCCCGGTTAGCTAGGTCACCAGTTTACATCCTTCAGATGGCACTACTCCAAAATAATTTTTCTTTACTAGATGAAGTCTTTTATTTATAGCTCTAATTAAAAGTGGACATTATTCTGTGAATACCTCTACTGTGGATGAACACCGTTCAGAATTGATTTATTCTTAACAAAACATCACACTTAGGCGACTTTTATTTCATTCTCTGCTTGTTTATTTATTCTGCATTTTACTCAGCTATGCTCGTGGGGCATTTAAGTAATGTTTTCAAGCTGTAAGTCTGAACATGCCTGAAAACGGTAGAAGAAATTATGTAGGCCCTTCAAGTATCTTATCTTTGACCTTTTTGCTCCTCAGTCCTGCATCCAAGTCTGACACTTTATAATCTGCTCTTCCATTACAGAAGCCTAACAAAGTTAAATTTACCTCATATAAAGTGGGGCTTTACTACCATACAAAGTAATGCTAGGCTTAAAGGAGAATCAAAAACTGAACCTGCTCCAAAGCCCACTAATCCATCTACCACGCACGTTTCCCATCAAACCCAGGTCAATTAGGTCTGTTTATATGTCAGTGAGACTGTTAGTGCGAACAAAGAGTAGCTCATTAGGTTAAGGTTGAAATCCAAGCTAATACATCATCTGCTGGCCTTATTGTGACCCAGCTGCATGTTTAAAAGAGGATTAGGGATTATTTAATAGCGTAAAATTTTCTCGCTCTGTACTTCAAAAGGTTTTAAAAGTTCATGCGTCACTGTCAAAGACCGCAGGAACACAGAGACGGTGTCATTTCAACTTCAGTAACTGTAAGAGAGGACTGTGAGGAATAAGATTCAAAGAAGTCTGCAAAGTAATCAAGGTGACAATGATGAGCCAAGAAAAACTTTTATATCCTTTGAGATGAAAGCAAATGTATGAAATCATAGCTGACAACAAAGGCCTTTTGTGTTTTTCTCATTGGCCTTATGTCTTAACAGCATGTCTGCAGGTATGCAGCGACATCCTGCACCTTACAGCTCAGCTTTCTTGCATTTTCATTTGCGAGAAGACATGTTGATCCATGAGATCAGATATACTAGTACCTGAGCGAAGCTGTTTGATGCGCCCATTGCTGCTGTTGATGTCCACGGGGAGCATGTCCTTGTACCAGGAGATCTCCGGGTCCGGATTACCACTTGCAGCGCACAACATGGTGGCAGTCCGGGTCCTTTCAACTACTTTCAGCTGAGGCCCCATGTCAATGACGGGGAAGCCGTGTGGAATCTGGTCCTCTGAAAACGTGAAGAAGAGAATTATATTATAACCCAAATAACGAATGAGAAAATAAATAAAATAAGGAGTGTTTACTAATGAAGACAGTCGTTTCTGAAAGAATATAGGAGTTCATCAGAGCTTTTCAGCTGGCAAGGTCAGAGATGAAGATGAAAGAAAAGTAAAAACTGCTGAGGTGCCACAGGCCAAACGGTAATCTGAGCATACGCTCACTAGCAGCTAATATTAGTGTGAGGGCAGAAGACACTACAGGGGAAAACAGATCTGGGGCTGATCTGGATTTGATAAGAAAAGAACAAACAATCCTGTTAGTAGCTGATTATCATAGCAGGCTTATTACCCTGTGTAGACAGTCTCAGGTTCAGACAGAGAAGTGATAGTTGCAATCTGCCTCTGGGCACTCATGCATAGATGAGATGCCTGAGGCGTAGAAAACTAAATAAACCAATTTGAATAATCCAGCTCGACATAATAATGGAATATCCCTGAAATGATCCTTAAACCAGAGTTTGGAATTGTGCAAGGAAAAAAAGTTGTGTTTTTTGCATGATAATGAGTCTAATTCCTTTTTTGAAGTGTTGATTTGACCTCTAGCCATGGATCTAAAAAAGGAGAAAATCAAACAGAAATAAGAGTTGTTTTTTTTTGCCCAAATGATACTAGCTTTTATTCCACAGTGGAGAATAATAGATGGCTTATGGCTTGTTGTGGAGGAGAAGCTGCATAGAAGGTAATACAGCTGACCAATTGAGGCTGCACGAAGCAGGGTGTGGAGCTTAAGGCTGACCTGCACACAACACCACAGCTTCATTTCCTGCTGTCGTTCATCTTTTCGGTAACAGATTACATTAAATACAGCTGCAATAAAAAAAAGTTAAAAACTGCTGTGTTTTAGTATTTGATCCTTTCTACAGAAATGTCTCTGAATCCAGCAGGATATAAAAAGTCCTGACTATCGACATCATCCCATCTAAACCTATATATTAATTCTGTGGTGCATGTCTTGCAGCTGGACATGACTCAGTAATTCTAGTAGTAGAGTATTCCTCCATTTAGAAGGAAAAGGTGGCAGGAGAAGAGACACTAGAAAGCTGTAAAAAGCTGGTGCTCAATCCAGGTACTGCTGGATCTCCTGCATCCAAAGGGAGATACTAATAATTTATCAATATCTTCTGGAGAAAAGAAAAGCCATTATATTGTATTCATTTTTGAAATATGTGAAGTAATTAATAACTTTAGAAACAAGCATGTACAGCTCATTGTTTTTCATGATTTAGTAGGTACTTTCTGGGACTTTAGTTATCCTTTCCGTAAGTTTTTTGGAAATGACTGTGACCGTTCTTAATGGGGCGATCTCCCATGAAAGTAACAATAATTCCTTGAACATTATAGGAAGATATATGTTACGTTGCTAGGTTTACAGCAGCATCATCACATTCTCAAAATTTGCTGGTAGGTTTTGGACAATTACCTCAAGGTACAGGAAAGTAGGCAACCGGTATCCCTCATGAAATTCTCTGAAAATTGATGGCTAAATTCTGTGATAGGATCTTATTTCCAGTAAAGACATTTTTGAGTTGTTGGAAAGCAACCAGTATGTCGCAAAAATGTTTAATGAAAGCGTCAGATGAGAAACAGAAAATACCTTTACCTTTCCATCAAAGAAGCTAGAAAAATTCTAGTAAATTAACCTGTGTGCTGCTAATCATCTAATCGGGCAATTATTTTTTCATAGATTAATAATGAGATAGCGAAAGGCTCCTTAAAATAGATTTTTTTCATGGAATTAATCGAGGTCAAACAAAAATTTTTCCATTTGAGGAGTTCTGGATAGAGCATGCTGAATGACAGATTTGTTTTTTTTTTTATTAAAGACCAATATTTATATATATTTTTTTTTACATTACTGTTCTAAGTAAGTTGCTCTTTCAGCTAAAGACATGTTATAGAGTCTCAATACTCCAGTTAACTATAGTTGATGATTATATCAATAAATAATTAATATATTCATTAATAAAATGCAAATATATATATATATATATATATATATATATATATATATATACAGTAATTATCAGTACTTCATAACTCTGATTAAGTTGCTCAATTTTTAAGGTGCTGTAAGGGACTTTGGCATTTTTGCTGAAAAACTGAACATAACCTGAATGATAAAATGATTAAGTTAAAGCAAAATAAATCTCTTCAATTATTTCTCTTCATTGATTCAATGCAGACAAGCAGTCAGCTTAATTGACAACATGCCATGTCAAACAGATGCCCAACTACAAACAGATCAATCTTAGGCAAAGAGAGAGGTGGGCTGTCGGTGTTATGATAACTGTCACATTCCTTTCTTTGAAGTACTTTCAGATCTGCAGCATGAAGCCAAACCAAATCAAAAAGATTCAAAGGTGCAAAGTTTGATGTTACTTTCAGATCTGATCCCATCTGACCAAATCCTGGATCGTGTTGCTGCCCATCTGATTAGAGCACACATCCATTACATTGGATGATTCAAAGATAGAAAACAAACAGCGGAGTCATGGGATCAAAACCTGCTCCCTGGAAATTTTTTATTTCCAATACTGAGAGCAAAAGTTTCCACTTGCCACCCACTAGTGTACAAGTGTGACCGTTATCGGCTGTTCATTGTGTCTTGGCAAGATCTTTTCTAACCTGATAAAGGCACGCAAACAATGAATTCTTGAGCAAATATTTAGCTCTTTGCTCCTTCTGCATAAAACGAGGCAATTTGTCTCAATGTGATGATGTACAAATAATAGCACAATATTTATCAAAAGTATAAAGCATAATGACAGTCTAATTGTGCTGCAAAACAGCAATTATAGCATCCACTTCAAATAAATAAAACTGTCATACATGGTAAATATGATGGCCCTTGTAAAGTCTGATTATGAGGTTGCTCTTTAACAAACATGCTTTTTGATCCTTGTATATTTCCATGGGGCCAAAGTGTCAAGATAAAATAAAGTGTTGATTATTGGGACTTATGGCTTGGGTTACCATTAAGAGGCATGTAGAAACAGATTATGCAACAATGGATAAATAAAGAGCTGCTCTGAGGGACGACAATGTTTTTACAAAGGGTGCATAATAGCTTAGAAGTTGAAGAAAAGAAGCTGAATTATGCATATCCCTTTTCATCAATAATCTATGACCACTTATCCTTTGAAAGGTACTAGAGGGCTTGGAACATGTCCGAGGTGACATAAGGTAACAGGCAAGGTGAATGCCGGACAGGTTGCCAATCTGTCAGGGAGCAAATAACAGCATGGTTCACTAAACATGACCTTCAAGGGAAGTAGGTGAAGAGAAAAATGAGAAATATTATTTTCACATACCGCCCTGCATTGGATGCATGTATAGACCGTGATCATAAATACAGCCAGGAATAAAAATAGACCACCCTTGTTTAATCGCTGTTTTCATTGTATTTTTCAGGTTCTATACCTGTAGAATAAAAAAAAGAAGAAATCAACAATGCTCTAGTGTATTTTTTCATGACTTTACGTAATGTTAAAGAGATTTATTTTACCCTTAGTGACTAAAACTTTGTTTGATGAGCTGACCACCGTTTCAGTAGTTCAGCATCAATGCATCTATAAGCCTGAGGCCCATTTTCCCTGAATGTACTTCGGGGCAGAATTTCCTGCGCTGTTCTGCAAATGTGACGTCGAGTGCGTCCATTTTAAATGGCTTCGACCTATTAAACAATCAAAGTGTTATAGTCAAGATAGATTTTGTGGATATGCAGAAGAGACAGGCATCCAAATCTCCATGTAAGCTGAACGAGCTAAAGAGAGCTGCAGTTCTGTGTTTTGGTCACAGGTGGCAGTATCATTAGAAAACTCCATGATGCCTCTTTACGTAATATAAAATCCTCCTTTCACAATTATTGTAAGCTACTAGCCAGTAATTACCCGATAAATTGACCTAAAAAACACCACTTAGTACTAATAAAACACTTAAACCATGCAAGCTAAAGAAAATAATTGACCGTCTTTAAATAACCATAGGAAGATGTCCACCAACATTAAATGTTTATATATATTGTCATTTCTTATACTTTGTAAATCTAAAGATACCTCCACCTTGTCTGAGTCAGAGATCCATATGTAAACCTATATGACCTAAGCATAAAAGGTGGATGAGTGTTGTTTTGTTCTTCTCGCCTGTAGAACAGTTGTTTCTCCTTTCACCCTTGTGTTTGGCCCATAGCCCAGATGTCTCATTTTCAAACCCAGGTGAATCTGAGAGGTCGTTGTGGCGAGGCTTATTTCCTTTACAACTAAATTAGCTTTCAGACATCCCTCTACAAAAGAGGATACCTCTATAATACAGTCTACTTCGACGTACCATTTGTTATCAAATGAAGAGTGGTAGGATTATTGATGCTCCCTGTGTTTCTCTGCGGTTTGCTTTGTTAACATTTAAAAAAAGAAAAGGACAACACCAGTTAGATAGAGGGAGGTAAGAACTGCATGATATCTGTTATTTTTTTTAGAACCAGAGCAAATCCAAGAGAAAATGTTAAAAATGCACATTTTTGTGGAAAATGCTAACAGATCCCCGAGCTGTGCTACTTCTGAGAGAAATTGTGGGGAAACCACTGAATTATGCTAAACCTTGAGGGGGATGAACTCCATTCTCACCTACTTACAAAACGCTTTGAATATTTTCATCATGTATCACCTCAGAGGATATCCCTCTGAGGCTGGACCCAGTTTCCTTGTGTATGCCTTCAGTGGGCAGCGTCTGTGGGGTCTACTGCTAGTTGTTTTCCTGACAATATCCTAAAATCGATTGTGTAGTGAAGCAGCAACTCTATTCCCTACTCAATTTGTGGAGTCTCCGACACAGATGCATTTAAAAGATTGCTTTTGCAGGCTATTAGGAGTTTTGTAGCCTTAATTAATTGATAATGACACACTGCAAGTTTACATTTCAATAGTCAAGAATAATACTAATGTGAAATCAT